ATTGAGGAAACTATTATTTGGAGATGAACTCCCAAATTTTTATGTACTCTTCCGGTACCAATATCACCGTGTTCATGACCAAAAAATCTTAATCCAGAGTATCATCCATCGATTGATCTCCTACTTCATCATATGCTCTTGACATCAAATTTGCATTAGCATGCTTCAATCTGGATCGATCTTCAAAAGTATAATCAAACGCGATTAGTAATAGTTTCCATCTAGCTATACTTCCTTCAGCATTAGACTTGTTGAAAATATATTTCAAGATCTTATGATCAGCCATTATAGTGAATTTTTCACCCAAAAAAATAATGTCAAAATTTCTTAAATGAAAAGATCACAAACTTTCTTTCTGTTATTGACTAGTTATTTTCCCCTTGTAGTATCTGTATACTAGCATAAGCAATTAGGTGATTATGCTTTTCATCATCAAATTGAATTAAGATGTATCCTAAAATAATATTTGATGCATCCGTATAGAGAAGAAAAAGTTTACCCCAATTCGGTTTTGTCAAAATTGGAGTCGTCACCAACTTCTTCCTGAGAACCTCAAACGTCATCTTTGCTTCTTCAACTTTGAAGATGAAATCGTACTTTATTCCCTTCTTCATATAGTTCGCCAAAGTATGAGCTTTGTTGGAGAAAGACAAAATGAACCCTCAATAGTTCCCACCATACCGAGGAATTGTCTCAACTTGGTCAATGTCATTGGAAAAGGTAATTCCATGATTCATGTCACCTTCTCTAGATCCACTGCTATACCATCCTTGGAGATGATATGGCCCAAAAATAAGCTTTTCTCACATTCAAAACTACACTTTTTTGGATTGAATGAAGCTTTAGCTTCCTTTAGCCGTTGAAGCATTTTGATCAAATGATATACTTTACTTTCATGCACACAAAAATTATCTATGAAATCCCTTACAAACTTTCCAATGAAAGTTTCAAATACCCTATTCATGAAGCTTTCAAAGGTGACATGAACATTACATACACCAAATGGCATGATTCTAAAGTCAAAGGTTCTCCATCGTGTTGAATTGATCTTTTCATGCTATTTGAATTTGATTATAGCCACTATAAACATCTCCAAAATTATATCACTCATGGTTTGCAACCTCCTCTAAGATCTTATCTATGAAAAACAAAGGATAGTAATCTTTCTTTGTGACACCATTCTTCTTCTTCACTATCACAATTGGAGACATCCATTCTGAGTTGTTTACCTCGTAGATGAAACTGATTTCCTTGAGCTTGTCAATCTCATACTTCATCACTAGAGCCGTAGGCGAATTATTTGACGTTGCTTCTGCCGAATAGGTAAAGCTTTCTTCTCCAACTCGATGTGATGAGTTGTAACATGCTTTGAATCTTTATAACTAAAGACAAAAACTACAATATACTTGCAAAATATATCCAAAAATCTTGTCTTTTCTTCCTCATAACCTTGGGATCAAACTTGAGTGTGGAAAGTGTTTTACACACCTCTTTGCTCATCTCCGCTTTGTCAAGATTTTTCTTCACTTCTGGTCTTGAAAGCAAAACCATGGCAACAACCACTTGTACTTGTATGTGGTCGTCAGGAGAGTCCTTTGATGACGTCTTTTAATTGGAAGTTGTCATATCTGTGTCAACTCCAAAAAAATTGTCATTCTCCTCACTCTCAGATTCCCAATATCCGTCAATTGGTCTATCTGAGTCAGTGGTGGATTCCACTTCTCCTGTCAAGGAAACCTTCACCCGATGGTTCTTTGGATCTGTCCTTAGATAGCCCTTGAGCAATCAGTCTGTAATTCTCATCGACTTCAACCAATGACGTCTCAACTACAAATCATAGCTAACTTCTTTAAGTACTTGGAAGTAAAGCAAAGTTTGCACTACTCTCACACTCATCACAACTTTATCAACCACCTTCAATGATCTTAACTTCTGTTTGTTGGCCATACCAACAATTATACTAGAAGATTTTGAAAGCTTCATACTCAAACTTCAACAATAGTCGTTGAGATGTTGCAATTACCGAAGAACCACCATTGACGAACATGTATGATATATCATGTTCATCAATCTTCACTTCAATTGTTGAAGTATGTGTACGGATCTGTGAAGCAACAACATTCACCACGCCAACTCCCACATTTGTCATATGAGACTTTCTCTTGTATGTTCACTTCTACGCTAGATGTTAGTATTCTTTCTCAATTTTCTCTTTATAAGAGTGTAATACTTTCTTTCGGTTAGTCTTATCAATTGTTTCTTGAAATGAATAAGCAACAGAAAAAATGAACAAATTTTATTTTATTTTTAAAACTCATCATTGTAGCAAGCAACATCAACCAACTAGAACGATTAGTTCTAAAGCCAAAATCTTTTGGTAACTCTTGTTTATTTAACTAATAATACCTATCTTCTTTACTATGTAATTCATCACAAGGTAAGTAATATATAAAATACATTACTTACGTCGCGATCCATAGCTTGGGTCAACGTGTTTTAGAAGTTGTTTTCAATGGGCTCCGACTTTGTCAATAGAAGCTCAAGGTTACCACTCTTTACTGATTATCGATTAATTATACAGTGAATGGATGAAAATAACAGGGTAATGATAACCAATGTTTAGATAAAATGTAGAAAAACGTGCTAGAAGACGTGCATGCGTTTTTTTTCTTTTGAAGTCTTTTCGTCTGCAGGCAATGTTCTCAAAGTAAGGTGAGATAATTCAAATTGAAAACCACTTATTGTGCTTACCATGGGGCCAAGCTGGCATACGGATGTGTAAGTTTACGAGGCTATTCTGATGAGTACAGAAAGCTCAAAATATCCGGAGCATACTTGTTTACCACAGTACATGGTCGTTCGTACAAGCCAGTGGATTCGGAACAGATCAACACATGGAGAGTAGTTGAAAGGATGATGGTGAGCTTTTACACTTCAATGCAAGGTTCATCTGTCATAGAAACCCCAAATATTATAACTTCTACGTGACGTACAAGAGTCATAGGACAATTCCCAGGCCACATCAGCCAACCAGGAGTTAGCAAATAATAGCAAAACGAAGCCTCGCAGCATGAACGGTTTTCAGTACACAATCATGATGTCTTCAATACACAGCCATCAGTTCAAGTACTAAGATATTGATAGATAGATATATACATATATACACGCGCGCGCGAGTATTGTGTAGTACTTAACACCGGCGACTCTAATTCTGCCCAGATTATAGGCTCCGCACATGGGTTTCATCTTTCTGTACCAAGCGTTGGGGGCGGTACATAACAAAGATGGTTGATTATGACAATTAGAAGTTTGGGACCACGATGACGTAGAGACTTTCGTGGCTCGTCCTAGCATTGTTATTATTGGCAAAGAACTAGTAAGTTCTTCACTTATGTCTACGTCAACCCATTGCTTCACTCGATAGGAGTCCGATAGTTCGTGCTGAAAGTTCGCAAGTTTACAACGGGCTGGTCTTCTACATGAAGTACAGGTGAGCTAACAGTCTGCCACATTACCTTTCTTCCTTCGTGAACGATCCAGCTCAAATAGTTCTGTGGAATCTCTCAGTGTTAACTGACATACCAAGGTCAGAATGGAAACTACATGCCACTCTTTTCATCTCGTTGACTCAGGAACAGAGTAATTGTGCACTCAACATCCTGAAGACGCTCGCGATTAGGAAGGTCAGGAAATATAGCATATCTGACTAACTTTCAACTGAGCTGTGAAATTTAATGGCTTTACGAGACACTTGGTCGTAAATTCAAAAGGAAAGCCACTGATAAGTTCTCGTGGTTTGCGCATCATGATCCATATTAACTGCAGCTGTGCACTAAACTCTCGCTGGTACGTGATGATCTTGTCCACCAGAAATTGTTCTTGTAAGCCTTGAGACTATGAAGCCTGATTGCAGTATCTATGAGTGTAGTAGCATGAGTAGAGTTGGTAGAGAGTCGAGGCTTATAGTTTTCTTCATTCAGCTCTTTCAGTGATTCTCCCAACTACTTGATAATCTAATTACACTTTCGAAGATGAAGCTGGAAAGGAGTACGAGCAAGTTCATCATTACACTCAAAGCATGTTACGGAGGAATTCTCGCTTTCAAAGCTTGTCAGTTTCTGAACCACCAGGTGTTTTGATTGTCCTTGAATAACAAATGTTTGGGTTGAGGGTGCAGCATCCCTCCAGAGACTTACAATTCACTGTGCAATGATTACATGCAGACAAGTGTTTTCCAGCAGTCAAAGAGTTAAACCTCTGACTGTGGAGCCATTTGATGAACTCAGGCCTACACCTTACGAGGACTTGTCCACCAAGCCCTTCAATGTAAAATGTCCTCAACAGGAATTTGATGTCATCTCCGTGCTCAAGGTACAACTTTACATCTGTATGTTTAAACAGTTATGTACTACGCCAATGTGTGACTTTACTTTTTTAGTTGTCTCTCTCATTAGATCTGTACAATCAGCAGAATGTTCTCATCGACGAAAAGGCTCAAAAAGCTTGTCATGCACCATACCTTCTTCGCATTCTGATGAAAAAGCTCTAATCGGATGACTAAACGGATAGATTGATGCTCGTGAAGGGCAAGTCATCATATGAGATAAGATTATGTAGTTATGTTGGTGCACGCTGTCCGTATCGACTAGTAGTGCAGTATGGGTCTAAAACAGAGACACGAATGAAAAGCCCTGAACTGAACCAACTACATGATTCCGTTTTCTTTTTGAGTTGTCACTGGAGATCACATGCTCAAGAGAAAAGGAGCCTCATATCAATGACAAAAAAGTCCATATTCTTACCTTGGAGGCGTCGCTGAAAAAAGCCGTACCGAAGATCAACACAATCAGCAGAGCTTCGACAATCGATCACCATCAAAAGCGGGAACACGAATGTCGCTTGAGAGAGCTCGTGTAGGCAACAAAGAGAGAGAGAGAGAGAGAGAGAGAGAGTAAAAAGAAGCAAATTAAAGTTGCAGAGAGAGAGTAAAAAGCAGCAAATTAAAGTTGCAGCATTGGATGCAGCAGCACGAGCAGCAACTTTTCCGACTCGTTCCGGTCGATGCCAGCAAAATACTCGGGCTCGCTGTCACAAGCACTCTCGACGACAAGCTCGCAATCACGAATCGATGGTTCCGAGTCACGAGCCGCGGAACTCTCTCCCCAGCGAGAGAGAACAGACGTTACCAGTTCAAATCCGCGCCTTCTGGCAAGACGCGCTCCAACGTCTCGGCCTTTCCACCTCCTCATCCAAATTCAATTTTTCTCTGGTCTGAGGTGGCGCGGTTCGAGATTCAAAAACCAACGTGGTAGTCGAGTTCTGGACTATGGTTCAAGGACCTTGGCAGGCAGATACGGTAATATACAGTCTTAGACTTAAGCTCAAGTCGACCGATGCGGTAAGTGAGTTACGCTTCTACTTATTGAACGGTTGTTAACTCGATGGGACCTCCGTCTGGGCAGCAAGATTACTCGGGGTTCCCGTGGTTAGAAATGTCTAGATCGGACCCTTACGCCCGCGTTGGTCTAGTCGTTAGGTCGCCACCAGTCTCCCGGTGAAGTTCGTGTTCGATCACGAGCCAACTGCGTCGAAGCACTGCAAACTGCGCTTGTTTCGACCGCAGTAGAGTATCACCTCTCCAAATGTCCAACTGTGTCAAAATAATTAATGAATATTTATAGACTGTTAAAGGTCCCTGGCTTCGATGTGGCTGCACAGTTTACCGCATCGGAGTAACAGGACGAAGCTTGCGACTGCGTATTGTGTTGGACGAGAAATGCGAATAGGAGTCTAATAGTTCGGAAGAATAAACAATTGGCACAATAAATCCGAGCAATAGGTAGGGGTATGTACAAACCAAAAATGTGAAATAATTGATAGATAAGAATTCTCTAAAGGATGATAGTTGTGTTGGACGCTTCAACATACAAGTTGTGAAGGTCAAAGATGAAATGGTATTTAATAAATTTCTTGTCTACAGATTTTAAAAACTGCATTTAGGATAATCTTCATATATAAAATTGATATTTCATCTTGATTTTCTAATAAAGTGAAGACAAGATGAATATTACCTTATATTATGTGCAAAATGTACAAAGCTAATAGCGATAAAATACAAAATGAGGTGCATTTCACATGAACAAGTGACATCCGAACATGGAACATGATATTATATAAAAGAATTGTTAGTATTTTTTAGTGAAAAAAGTCTAGCTATTTCGACTTTGGAACATACTATTATATAAAAGGAGTTGGTGATAATTTTAAGTGACAAAAATTTAGGGTTTTGAGAAAAACATATCTGTCTTCCCATGAAAATTGCTTAAAGATCGTGTCGAATCTCTATGCGACTGTGTATCACATGCAGCAATTATAAAGGTTGGACAACTAATTTGTAATAATTTAATGTTCACAAATATCTGTCCAAAATTAGATGTGTACATATATAAGATGTGAAAAGACTACAAAAATCATCATGTGGTAAGACTTTATAATAAACCTAAAACTAAAAACTGAAATTTGCAAAATCTAGCAATTAAATGTTTGAGCTTGTAAAATATCATGCATAGTTGTTAAGCATATTCTCTCCAGAAAAATATATTGATTATTATAGTATGTATATTTCTTAAAAGCAGTCATCATATATTTTAAAAATTTAACAAGAAACTTGTAAGAAAAAAAATAAGATTTCAGGCTTTAATGTATGTTGTACAATTCATCGTGAATAGATTTTTTTGTCTAAATAATTTCAAAATAAAACAAAGGAATTTAATACAACAAGAATATACTATATTCATTTTGTGAATTTTTCAATATTAAAAATTTGTGATGATTTGTTTCAATTCGATATTAAAACCCTTAATTTTTATTACTGCATATAATTTAAAATTCTTGATTGATTCACATATCATATGGTACGTAAAAAGTTACATCCACATCACACAGATTTGGAAAAATAAATAGATATAAAAATATATATATTGAATTTGTTCACTTATCAAAATTTGTGATGACAAAATGTCATCAAAAAATATTTAAAATATACTTGATCAAGGTAAGAAAATTAATGATATGTTGATATTTGGATGAAAGTCTGTAGCATATGTTCTTCATGTCAAGGAGAAAATCAGATAAAAAATAAGTACGTTAAGAATAAAAGAATAAAAAATATTTATAAAACTATGCGTTTAGGATGTATTATGATATTTTTTGACAGCTTTCATTTAGTTCCAGATATATATTTAGGACATGTAAGGAATTATCTGAAAACTATCAATTTCAGAAGTTCATTTTATATATGTGTGCAAAAATTATATATTTGAGAAGAATATTATATAATTCTCTTCTTAAGTGATCTAATTAGAAAATCTCCAAAAATGTTTTAAAAAGGAGTTACATATATTAATTGAACGTGATATCTCATGAAGCTTAGCGCCTTTACAAAATGAAAGAGATATTTTTAAATTTGATATGTTTCTGAATTTCCATGGGAAGAGACATTTGGACCAAATAATCTTGATTTTAAAAGAGTGATCTATAGAACTTTCGATAGATAATTATACGAATATGAAAAATTATATTATGTTGAAAAAGATTTTATGCTTTGGTGAACGATTCATAATTATATGAAGATTGAAAGACATATTTTGAAAATTTAATATCCTCATACATGAAGATGGTAACGGACAGTCTTACCCTACGTACGTTTACTATCTATGTTTAAAATGTAAGAGGGAAAAAATCATCAACATTCTTCAATCTGATATCATCCTTCGCTTCTTTCATGTCCAAGAGAAGTTCAGCAAGTTTCTTTCATGCATTAAAAGCACACATAAATGCTTCTCTATTTATAAATAATTGAATGAAGATATCACATAGAACAACCAGGTCTTTATCCATATGAGTACCTTGGCCATTATATCCAACGTAATAGGCACTAAGCAACGGCAAAGGGATGTCTGTACTTTGCACATCTCTAGAAAAAAGAAAAACGTCACAATTGCAAGCTTACAACTACTGTATATGTGTACTGGTGTAGGAAGAGAGAAAAAGACAACGGATGCGCGGGACATAGTTCTCGATCCTTGCAAATGAGGTCAGATTCTGGTGTGTGTGTCACTCTTGGTCATGATGGTGAAGGTGAATGATTCCATCATACGTAAATATATCACATTGAAAATGTGTATCAGGTAGGTTATGGTATGTCATTTTGATCCACATACTGTACGAACTCGACAGGAGGTTGGTTGGTCACTGAGAACAGTGATCAGATGAAGATACACAAAGACGAAGAACATTATTACGTTACAGTACACAGAGCTGGAAAAGCATTTGCAGTTCTCTAGCCGATAACTGAAAACATGCTTAGAAAATATCTGCTTTTTGGAGGACAGAAGGGAAGGAACAAACATTCTCTCGGTCCCCGAGACTAGGATACCGAAAAATGATCAAAATATCTGATTGAATAAATCAGAAGTTGTTGGGTCGTACTAGCGCATGCATGGTATATGTTTGAGGCTCCAGATCATCCATCGAGATATCCTACTTTCATGGAAAGGGAATCATGGCCCCTTTTTTAATGCTTGATGTATGATCACATACTTTACCGACTTTTCGGGACTCTGAATTGTGCTCCACGTACTTTAAGCGACCGACTTTTCGTATTGACTACGTTCGCATGTTTCCTTATGATGAGTTTGAGTGCCTAACATTGTTTCATGAAAGTCAAATATGTGGCCGGATGTCCATATAACTACGTGATAAAAGTTTCATATCATGATTTCAACTATTGATTGGTTAGAGAGATTTCATTATATCCCTGAAGAATATCTCGTCAAATCAATCTTCGCCATATCGCACCACTCGAATTATTTTCAGCATAAAATCAGGGTGCATAATAAACACATTTTTTTTATATACAATGATACATATATCAGGGAGTTATTTGTATCATATTAAGCATGGATCTATGTATACACTTGGGAAAATATGACGATTCAAGTAGACTACATGCCAATGACATCAAACAGTTTCTTCTAATTGTTTAGCACAACTTGAAAGTTATATGAAAGAGATAATTCTCCCCTAACCTTTGTTAGAGCCATTTATTCCGCTTTGAGATTGTAACCACAACATATGCTACAATAACCTGGTACTCTCGTGAACCCATTATACTTGTGCCCCACAAAAGCAAATATTGGTTTATATTGTGGGAAGGTAGGAGCTGTGGAACGTCTTCCTTCTGATATAACACAGATTTCGTCGTCCTTGGAGGCCGAGGATGAGATTTCTGGGATTGCTAAATGACATGTGTACTTTCGCGAGGTGGCCATTTGGATAACCGAGAATTTTCTCCTCGGGTTAGGATGACTGTTCCACCGTAGACCACGACCAGTTCAGAAATCTTCTTAACAAGTTGAGTCAAATCAGAGTCTCGTACTTCCGTTGTCACGTAATAGCTGCATCGAGGAGGCATGAGATTCGAAAGCTTGTAATCGCGAATCTAGATCTTGTTGGTTCTGCGGGACAGCCCAACTACTTTCTTGTCGTCAGATGTCAAATGCGGCAGCTGTTCAACTTTCACAACCTAAGGTGTGGCTGGATCAGACCACAAGGATCTTTCGGCCTCTTCTCTTCTCTTTCTTCACTGTGTATTTATAAAGCATGCAGTAGAACGTTGTTCTGAGAGAATCCGTGACATCAAAGGTGTACAAATTTGCTAACCTCTCTCGCTTAGAGCCCGAAATACTTTTTGCTTTACCGATCTGGCCAACTATCATTCACCCATTGAAAATGATTCACTCAATATACTGACTATTATATTGTCACCAAAATAAAAATAAAAAACCACAGCAACATGCAAATCCTAACGCATTATGGTTAATATTTGGCTGAACCTGAAATGTGCCAGATTTCTTGTCTTCATTTGACACCATTTCCTCTGAAAGACAATGATTCAACCCAGCGTCTTCATCTTGAAACAGAAGAGTCAAGAAGCAAGCCCTGCAGGCTTGAATCAATTCTGTACAGAGTCACTCATCGAAGTGAACCACATAACCTGAGCAATCAGACAACGGAATCATGATCATGTCCATCCTGGAACTTTAGAAATGACTGTCTGATGATCTAACCAATCTGATATTGGATAGAATAGACAGTTAGACAATTTAGATAGTGGAATAGAACACTTTCTCAGCGACAGGCCATCGGATTGAATCTGATCAATACCAACTTGCAATCGGTCGTATTAGCAGCCCTCAATGTATAGGTGGCCATGATATCAGCGGTCCAGACAACTGTACTATGAGTTGCACCGAAAGCAAATAGAACGTTCTCATGACATGAGTTCCGTTTCATTCCTGAATAGCCTGGCTTGGAAAGAAAGGGTATCAAGGTTGTCCTGAACATGGTCCAGACTCGAAGAGGGTAGCATGACCCTACGAATTTGGGTCACCAGCTAGCAAAGCGTTTCATGTCTAATGTCGATGAGTGACAGTAAACAACAATGTGTCAGAACTTTACGTCCCTCGGACAAATCGTTTATTCCACTATTTGTCCAACGCTTGTTTCCGAGTTCTCCTGTTCAGTCATCGAAAAGCATGGGATGAGTGGACAGACGAAACAAACTCTAGGCGGACACAAGAAGTGGATGTTGCACATCGCAATCCTTCCATTATTTCGAGCGAAGTGTGAGCAAATGTGCGAAAGGTTTCTCACATTGTGTACAAGGTCATGTTCCTGTTTCCTGAAGTTTACCTTCCTCAGAAGAGAAAGAAAGTGCTCACACAGAAACTTGTCAGTGTCTGGGCAGATAGATCCTGTCTCGACAGAATTCGTCCAAGTCTTCAGATCCTTTCAGTTAACCCCTTCCTTCCACTGGATACACATTACGGACGTACGTTGCGTAGTTTGTATGCAACGGAAGGAATATGCGAGGCTCGTTTGTCATGTACAATATTGTCTTAATTTAAGGTGCACGGTAACTCAGTTTGAGGGTCTATGAAGAGGCCTCAATCTTTACCACGGTCAGGTGCTACATGAGTGCAGCACTCTGCTTCATATGACTACCCCTGATTCGAAAAGATCAGCTTCAAAGGAAACGAGCAGCATCGATTGACAGATCCATTTATACCTTGATTCATTTATACAGAGTCGATCATGGCTTCTCGCGTTCTTGCTGACCCCCAAGATGAACTACAAGTCTCTTCTGAGCAGCGACATCTCGCTCATCAACACTTGAAAATAATGTTGATCTGGACTCCGGTAATGTAACCTACGGTCTGACGAACGGTGTGGCCACAGTTCGATGCAATTCTGCGCAGATACTCCATGTGAAGAGATCACCTTTACAGAAGCAGAAATCTTTACCTGCGAACTTGTCCAATCAAAACATGGGCCTCGACATCCGCTTATGGACGAAAGAATGTATGTGAACACCATGCAAATGACGGACCTCTCTCGTAAGCAAAAACTAAAGTGAATTCGTGTGCAATTTCTCACTGGACTTTGTTGCTTTCTGACGGCGATGGATATTTATTCAAGTATTGGGTAGCATCTGCAAGCTCCTTATATGAACGAGGCGTAGTAAAAGCTCTGCAATGTGATTGTGTTTTCAATTAGATTGCAGTGAGTTTACTAGAATTATATTTTTTAGTCGAAAACCACATTCTCCCCCCTGCAATGGTACCACACCTGCCGAGCCCTCCCCTTTGGGAATGTATAAAACTCAGACCACTGTAGTTAAAACTACTGTTTCTTACATATTGTGTGGACGGTCACCGACCTATCGTCCTTAGCCATGAGAGAGTTACAACTACGTTCACACGTCTCGAGAAGATCTCTCTTCCAGTACTGTAGTATAGAGAAAACAGTTAAGTCTGAATCCGAACTACGTCCTCGTCTGTAAATTCCTCTAGGCCTACTTCCTTGACTGAGGCCTGATGTCAGTACCTCCCGAAACCGAAAGGGTTCGTTATGGTGATTGTTATTCAAATGAATTTGATCAGACCAAAAGTTCGAAAGGCAGATGTTGATATTAGATTCCCTTTGTATAAAGTGAGGGCTGTAACGAAACGGATCTCCTGAATAACGACGTTTCATGACAAGAAAAAACCAACATTACGTTAGCAAAGCGTGAAGAAAAAATGTCATGAGAATATTGTGAGATTAACCTTATGACGTAGATTAGGCTGTAGGTTTACTCTGCCTAATCTATGGGCAGCTGACGGTGCTTGCTCCTGTTTTTGTTTTTCCCAGTTTTTGTCTGACGGTTGTTTTACACAGTCGTAGCCTGACCAGAACCTACTGCAATATCCCCTCGGTTGGTCACCACAAACGAAGCCTGCAGCGTCCTGCATTGATGTAAATTATTCACAATCGTACATTCTTGCACCAAAGTCCCATTCACTTCACTTTCAAAGTCCTATGCAACCTAAAAAAACCCCAAAAATCAAAACCTAGACACAGGATACAGATATATTATCTAATACCAATATCCTATCAATGTTGCGAGGTTACAGAGTATGCGACTAGAAAACTCGAGCACCTCCAATGATGGATTTCGGCGGCTTCAACGATGATGCCTACAAACTATTTGGTTCTACATCAGACTCGAGTTCTAATGCGGAGGAACCGGTTGGGAGAAGCGCTACGCCTACCATATCACATTGTATGAATTCAATCTAAGTGTTCATCACATCATCCGTTCGACTATGGCTAGAAACATTTACTGGCACGTCTAATTACGTTAAGTTACGTTTCTTGTATCTTGTAACTTACTTTCCTAGCTACTTAAGAAACTCTCAAGTGGCTTTCAGAAAGCCGGCGATATTCTAATATCATGGAAGATTGGGCTGGTTTAAGAGATGGTGAGGATTGATCGACGTGAAAAAGAGAAAAGAGCTTGGTTACTGGTAAAATGACTGAAAAGTACGCCCAATATGAAGGGAAGGCTTCTTATGCCGATTAGGACTGATTAAGTGAGTACAGAAGGGAGATACGGAAGCTCAAGCACTGGACTCCATGTAACCCTGGGGTCCAGTTCCACTGTAGTCATATCTCGGCGGAGCTCGAATGAAGAAGTAAGTATCTGAGGGAGCCCTAGAGGAACTCACGTTGTGAACGATATCCGAATGTAACAAGGTCCATTCCAGTGCTTCTAGCCAGATTTAGGCAGTCAGCCAACAAACAGGTGCTGTTCCTTGAAACACCGAGGCGTTCAAGGCCTCGAGGGTGGCCTACAATGACAGTGGGACCCATCTCTTCTCAGTGGATCCAAACCCAAATTTGGCAATGATGCCAAACGTCCACAGTTCGTCCATACTGGAGGAAACTTCCCCCTTCAAACCCAACAGCTCAACTTTTGCAGTGGTGCCTTTTGACTTGGCGCTTTGTTGTTGTGCTCGCTCTTCACAAGGTATATCTCGTGTGAGTTGACCATGATTGCTCATGCCATCAATATAAGGAATAAGGGTGGGGTTTGGTCTGTAAATGTGTTAGTGCCATCTGATCATGATCATTTACCGAGAATATTTGTGGCTTAGCTGAGTCCATACCTTCAAAATATCACACGAAACTGATGAAAAACTGTAGTGCTCTGGACCCACAAAGGTAATACCACAAAGTTAATAAAGTTCACCACTTCAAACGATGAAGATAAGAAGTGCAGAAAAGCACAAGAAACGACGTTCTCACTCGCACTGCACAAGGACAGACTGTGGCCTGACGCAAGAGAAGTTAACTGTACACTTGTCAATTTATACGCTGAGCAAATGTGGAGAAGGAGAAAGTACACAAAATCTCGTCCTTGAGACCTGCTACTCACGCCTCCTCAAGTATTTCTCTGTGAGAACAATTGTAAAGTTCGAAGACAGGAATGAATGGGTGGTGACGAAAAATTTCCAAAAGGAGAGAAAAAACCAAAACTGCATGACTCACGAGTTCTACGACAAGATTCCTTTCTACTTTGTGGAGGGACCCAACTACTCAGCCGCGATGCACAGTGGAGAATTTCAACATCGATCTTCAAAAGTAGTAGATCTCAAGGCTGCTTGCTTCAGATCGCTCTCAGACGAACACATTAGATTTTCAGGAACGCAAAAAGGCCTCAAAAATCACTTCTTAGAACGCTATTTCCTCGAAGTCTTCCTCCTCTCAGATTGTATGCTGGCCCCCACGACTGCACATAAGGCTGTTCCAGGATGAGCAGGTAGAAGAGTGTCGGGCTCGTATCTTGTTAGGATGAGTTGAGGAATGAGCATCTTCATTTTACATTTTATGAACGCGATAAATATTGTCTACTAGACCAAAATGCGAACAAAAAACAGTGTCTATCAAAGTAAGAGAAGGATATGATTGAAGTATGAATCACATCTACGCAATTTAGTATGAAATCGGCCTAATAATCTTTCTGCAGAACTCCACAGCTACTCGTTTAGAAATTGATAAGAAAAATGTTATAAACAAATTGCTCAAAAGACATCATCTCCACTCACCTGGATACTCATCCTCATCTTTTCGATATTTATTATCTTTACCTCCTCTGCGTTTTGAATTTTAAATATCTTGTGCAGTCCATGGAAATTGGAGATTTAATCGCCGAATTTTCTGGAGCTATGCATAAATTTTGGAGCAAACTCAATTTCTGGATAAGTGAGCGCAAGATTTTGAGAAAATTCTAGGTTTGCTACAATTTATACACACTCACCACAACCTTCATGGGAAGCGTATGTTCTAAACAGAGTTACCAGTTAATTTTCGATTGGATTTCCAAAAAAATAACGAAAACTTCAGGTCTATTGCTTTTAAACGACCAATTCTTCGTTTGAACCACGATACTGTACCCAGTTCTCTCCTTCTCTATGAATGTGCTAGACATGACGTGTGACAGCAGTCCCAATGCAACTTGTATCTTCAACAGTAAAATACAATTGGAGTTCTAGAACCAGGTTTGCTGAATTCCGTCTAACAATTTGCCGCTCTTTCTCTTCTCGGATTACATGTCAAAACACACAATGACATGAACCGTCTTTGCTACGAACAATATTAATTTCCAAAGAATAATCACCACAATATCATCTCTCAGCTAACACACTTAATAAAAAGTTCAGAACATCTGCTAATGCCAGAGGACGTGACCAGCTAACTCGGCTAGCCATCTCTGATAAATCAGTGAAAATTGAGAATTGGATGCAGAGAAAATATTATCGGTGTACATAGTTATGATACTGTGTGAGGTAGAATTTGCATTCTTTAATCAGAATACGATAGCATACAACTCTTATTCATAACCAGTATGAGGCAGAATTGTCATTTCTCAAAGCACGAAACAGTTGTAAACAGCTCTTTTTCATAAGCAGACAAACCTATCTCGATGTCAGAAAACCTCATGGACTAATAAGTTACCGGCCTACAATGTTCAATCAATACTCCTCCTATAGCAATCATGGATATCACAAGTCTTGTATATGGGCAGGCCAATTCCATTGGATATCAAAAAGCTTCGTGAACTCCTAAGCTATCGGACTACCATGTTGAGTCCGTAATCTTCAGTAGAATCTATCTATACGTCACCGTAAACCTCAAAAGATTTTCCTAGAAATGGTTATGATAACACCAGATATGTAGAAAGTGTAAACTTTAGTTTATCAAACTCTTGCTCATAAACTTCTATCTACATCTAAGGTGTCTTCACCTTGCACAGATCGTACAAATCAGATGTGATTCTCGTATATATTCATATGAACCCGCAAAAATAAACTTGAAGTACGATAGATGCTTGCATATGTGAACCAAAATTGAAGTTGAGCTATCAAGTAATATAGCTCATCTTCAACTAGTTGCTTCGTCCACTTTTGTTGCGTGGTCAAGATGATCAACACTAATTGCTAATAGATTTAATCTCTTTCTATTCATCTCCAATAAAAAAATGCCGAAAAGCATGATTTAGTACACATAATGAAAAATGAAACATTCCTTGCAACTGCTGTAGTATTCCTCACTGGTTTATTTCTCTTGCAAAGTAAGTACTGTCATCTTCTTTCATATCAATTATATTATATTTACTCTTCGTTTCAGTACTCCATCTCTAACAAGCAGCCAAAAACTCTTCGCAGAGAAATTTTTAGATTGAATTTAGATAATCCTTTCCCTAGTCTGAATCGGGTAGAGAGATGAAATCAACACAGATAGATACTCTTGTAGTCCAAATGTCAAGAAACATGTCTACTACTCACCCTCTCAACTTAATCAGACTTCAAAGATTGTTGCTACGATGTTTTTGCTTGTTTCTTTTCAAGCATAATCTTCAAATGTGAAATGCAATGATAACATCTTATTCTGACGATCGTTAAACTCATTTTTTTTTTATATGAGTGAAACTCAAAATGTATTTTTCGTTAGCAATGAAAACAAGAGAGTAAATGCTAAGACCCTTAATAGCCAAAAGAAAAAAACGAAGAGTTTTCCAACCATGCTTTGAATTTATGCTCCTTCACCTCCTAAAAAATATGTCACAACACAGACAAACCGGTCTCCCTACAAACAAATTACTGTCCAACATCACATCACATAACATATCTCAGCTAATAGGCTCACAATGCACATGATGTCACACTTCAAAGAACGTGACACTTATGATGTTGGATGTGACACTTTGCCATTAATCGTCATGCATCTTCTTACCTGATACAGGGCTTCTCAAATCTATGACAGTATTGACGGTGTCTTCTTCCTTTTATTCTCCTTTTCCGCTTCTCTTCACTTCTTTACGTGTGTATGTAGCTCTCCTTTCCAATGTTTGTATGTGGAAGCTTAAAACAAATCCTACAAATTATATTTCATCATTAACATACTTTATACTAACTTTTCAAATGTAAAAATGTTGCATAATCTATGTTATGACCCACAATTTACCATTATTAGTCACCAGCCAATACAAGGGGCCCGTAATTTAACGGTTGATTGATGTGGGTCTGGGACAAGTTGGTTTGTGATACATCCTGCGCAGGTAGAAATGTGGAAATTGATGCAGACGTTTGGAAAATCAAGTCCAAACGTACAGTTTAACAATGCAAGCTTAAAATGGAGGGTGACCTTCATACTGGTGATCTGTGTTCTTATAAGGAAGTTAGGTCTGACAAAATGATCTGACAAAATTCAAGTTTAGAAGCAGTCGCCCTCGAAAAAAAAATTCGGTATATGATCATGCTTCCCTCAAACAGAAATCCACATCTACAAACTTTACGCTTGATACAAACTGCATCTGAACAGACAAATCGGAGGACTCGTGGGAGTACGCATGCACTGTGATGTTTAGCAGTTTTGTGTACTTTCGAGTTCAATTCCCGCGGAGTGGCTTGCGACATGTTGTTGCCAGTTTGTGACACTTTCACAAGGCAGGAGTAGGCATCGCAGGGACATAAATGTCATCTACCCGTTAGCTTTATCAATAATGGGTCAGAACTGGGAACACAAAAAGCAGTCCACGTTAATAGGCAATGATAAACGTCTGTACGTATGTAAGGCACTCGAGTCTCCTACGATAGACCCTACCTCTGCAGTAGTCGTCAAGAACAAGAACTGGGTGACGCAGAGAATATTATAATATTCCAGTTGCTTTGACCTTCGGTTCGTCGATTCTTATTTCTCCGCTCTCTATGGGGACCTAAAATCCTCAGCCGCCCGCTTGTATTCAGACAGAGGTTTGAGTCGTCAATTTCCGAACAAACCATGAGCTCGCGGTGAGTTGAGGACATGTTCAACCCTGAATTTTCGCAAAGAGAAGAGTATGATACTTTAAGTGCGAGTTTCCTCGGTGCAATCTCCCAGTAACTGGGAGGTCAAGCGGCAGGACTTACATTGAACGAGAGCCAGGAGTTTGTCAAAAAGTGTGTATGCGGATGAAACCTTCGTAGAAACCGAAGAAGTTCGAACGAAACGACAGCACACACAATTACGGAGCTGGCATTTTCACTGACATGACATTACGAAGATATAGCTCTTGAGGCTCAAAGATTCGACAAGAAGCTGTATTCTCAGATTGACAGCAAGCGCTGCGTGCTAAAGGGCGCTACCCTGGTTTTGGCACTAGTAGGAGGGATTAATCACTTTCTAAGAGCGGAGATCATGGGGATCTTGCGTAATCTTGGATCAAGACACAACTCGAACTGAAAACTACGGAATGTACTTTATCTCTGACTTTGTACAAGTTGATAAATTTGGAGAGGTTCATTTCTGGACAAGTAGGCCTCATCGCACAAAAAACGGGCCCTAAATTACCAAGGGGTGGAACAAAGTTACGGACATAGTTTCCTGGTGGTATTCGTTCTAGCTCTATACATGAGTTTATCTCACTTGCTTTGAAGTTGAGGTATAGTGTAGGATTCATAATATGTGGGGCGTTACAACGTGAAATAGAAACTAGAGGTTATCTAAAAGTTTTTTACATCTTTTCTTTATGGAAAAACTCATGGAATGAATTAAAACACTATTTCCTTTCCATAAGGTCATTTTATATGTATATATATAAAAGACTTCGATTGAAACCCAAGCTAATATTTTTTTCACTTCCTTTCAAATAAAGAGAGTACCTCAACGTTGTAGAATCTATCGGAAAACAGTCAAATAGTCTACAATCCTTTGAAACATGCGCCATGTCAACCTTGTACGAAGACTTTGACTATGTAATCGATGCAAGAACTAACTCATTACTGATCGGATTGGAAAGAGTCATGAAGGCAATGTGTTCCATACTCACATGAAGGACACCTAAAGATCACGAAGCTCAAACAGTCAAACTGAGTCGAAAACTCGCCCACCTTGAGTCCAAATGAGTTTTCTTGAGAAATTCAGTTGACGTTGCTTGCGACCAGTAGAGACGGAGCCATGATCCCTCGAAGAATAGAAAGATCTCGAACTCGTGAGTAAATGCGGCCACAGGTGTCCCATAATTCGGCCCATCGAATTCTTGTATGCGTAGGTCTGCGCCGAGAATCCTCCTGGTCGGGAAAGGGAATCTTGGCGCGTCCGGAAGCACAGCACCCGCTTAAAGTACCTAGTCCATGTCAAGGTTTCATTCGCTTTCCCGTCCAGCGCAACTCCAGCGTCTAATAGAACAACTCGACCGCGGCCACGAAAGGCAAGAGTCAGTAAAGAACCTCCGCTCGACCGAACCCGTACACGATCTCTCGAGACGGACAGTTCCCGACATCGAACATTCAAATCCAGACGATTCAGCGAGACGCACCGAGACCAACGCGGCGGAGATTTCGTCCCACTGCCGTCTACACTTTCCGGACAGGACATTTGACGGACCTCAATGGAAAAAGATTAGGACTTTGCTACAATCGCGTTTAAAGATCGCATACCGTTTAAATCAGGAGAATGGTTAATCACCAAGCGGGTGGATAGGACCTGGCAAATCACTATAAGGATATATGAAACATAAATTAAAATTTCTGGTATTAAATGGTCTTATAATAATCTTGAGAGGCATTTGTTGTACCATCTTCTAGTGTTACACTTGGACTCGACTACTTGTTTCACATGAATTCATATCACACGTGACTCCCTTTCCAGGAAAATACTTTGCAGCTCTAGCATTTTTCGCTGGTTGTGTTCTCTAAATGTAAGTGATATTCTCCTAATTTGACAATGCTTATAGATATGCGAATCAAGCGAATAGATGGTTACGAACAAATAATTTATATTGCAAGTATCATATTATATAATATAATATATATATAATGGTTTATCGAAATTTTTCTAAAATGGACTGACTTCTATATTTAATCTTGATGCAATGTATCTTTCACGTTTGACTTCATGTACAGTACTAATATGTTTTAAATTCCCTTGCTATTTAGTGTTGGCCCAATCATATACTCAAACTTTCGATCGGCATTTATTGTATGCCCTTAGTGGATGAACGTATGATTCTTTGTTACTAACTTTTCCGAATTTGATATCTTACTGAAGACAAATTATAATCAACTAGTTACTTATTCAATTTAAATAGAATATGTTTCTCGATATGATTGAATATGCTATTTATAAATCGAAACAAAAATCGATATACATTTCACCTGGAATGAGGGTGGTAAAGGAATACATGTACTCTGCTTTACGATGTTATATCATTATTGCTGGTATAATAGTTATGTATAATACACATGATACATTTCTGGACGGGCGATCGGCCAACTCCAAATGCGGAGAAGCGGGATAAGTAACATCCTTGTCTCTTTTCCTACATACAAGCGCTTCACGACGCTGACGTAGTGAGCTGCCTGTGGCGGATCTCTCGATGGAAAGCGGCTGTAACGTCTAGCATCGTTCCAGCTAATACAACGCGGTGTCCGCCATTTTAAGCAAGCGTTTGTCGAGCTCGAGTAGTCGGGCAGCCATGGCCTTCCTAAATGCGAAACAGGCCGAGAAACCCTGCCACTAGGGCAAGATGACTCTAGAAGCAGACCTCGGTCAGAAGCGTTTGACCTCAGGAGACAGCAGCAAAGAAATCTAGGGGTAGCAAACCCTAAACCGCAGCAAGGGCAGGGGGGCAGGGGCCAAAACATTCCGGGATCCGGTTTGGAGATGGGCCGCGGTAGGCAGAGAGAGAGAGTAGGCGGGAAATGGGTCCGTGGCGCAACTTTCAAGGAAAGACGGCAGGCGCGTATTTACTCCGGCAAGTAGCGCTCGCGTCCTCCCGACGGACGCTCCGGACTTCCGGCTCCCATTGGGTGCCGTTTCGACCCGTGCTGTCGTCCGGAATGGCGCCGTGCCAAATTTGGGGTCCATCCGAACCACTCCGGCCGAGAGTCATTTATGATCACCCCTCCGATGGACGGCTCACGGCAGTCGACCGTAACTCCCCATTCCCATCGTACGGCTCATACGTCCGTCTGCCATACTGCAGTAGGTGAAACGCGCGCGGCTCTCGGATGCTCGGAGCCGGTCATTCCCGTCGGCCGATGCCCTTCTTCAACTCCCCCGAGTCTTATTAACCAGGGAACAGAAAAGGCGTCTGGTTTATTCTACCCGGGAGAGAGGCCCATGTCACCCGCTTGGGTTGGGTTCGTCCCTGCACGAGTTAATGGGGCCTTTCTATTTATTTTGGATATCAATTGGTCTCAACCCTTTCTCAGTGGTCGCTCTCACCACTTCCCGTAGAAAGGCTACGGGCGATTGCCGTGAAAGGTACGTGTCAGGACTGGACATTCCGGTTGAGGCTTCGGGTTACTCAGGTAACACTCAGCCAAGGGTTAAGTTACCTTGGCGGGGTGTCAGAAGCCTGCGCAACTCGGACGCGGGATGTGCTACCACGGCGACCGCATCGTACAAGGAGTAGGGCCTAGTGGAAGTAGCGTGAAAAGAACGTCGTAATGAGAGCTAAAAACTGCATGAACCGCGAGCTCGACCTCGTCCGCTTTTCACCGTCGAGTAAAAGGCCGGCCTGATCACGAGCATAGTATCTAGGCGCGGTGCGAGGGTTCAAATGGGAATGAACGGTCACCGAAGGTGGACTCCGTTGCGCGAATGAAACTCGGTCACCGCCTTCGAGTCTAGGCGTCGCTCCATAGGGACACGAACTCGAAAGCTGAACTCCACCGCAACGCCTCTCATACTCGACGACTGTTCGTTCGCAGGCTTACAAGAGCCATCATTTGCAATTTGCGTTTGCGATTTGGATTTTGGGGTCATCTCATGGTTCAGCCCGACCATCTTTTCTATACTCATCATCTGCTTTTTCCATCTCTAAAGTCTGTGCATTCTATTGGTCCACATTTATTCAATAAATATTCAGCCGCGAGTGTAGTACAGTTACCATGACATCATTTGCTGTGTACAGAAGAGTGGGGATGACTTTTGTGCTACATGTCTCTATATGAGAAGTGGATAGCTCATCTATGTAGACATTATTTTTTTGAAATACATCCACGTTACTTTATAGGTAAATATATTATATTTACATATGACATGTGTTATAGATATACAGATGAAAATCTCTTTTCATGAGTGCAACATGGAATGGAAACAATTTCAATTGTCAAGCGTATAAATTTGAAAATATCAATTATGTCTTTTTTTAGGCTTTGAAACCATAAAATTAACGGAAACATATATTGAGGTGTTAATGAAAAATGACAAACGCAAGAGTATGTGACATAGAACTCATGATCTAATGTGACTTTGGATACTGGCTCCTTTACTTGTTTATATAATTTGTTTGGCAACAATTGATTGTTGGTATCAATGAATTTATTGTGATCACTAGCTGGTCTAACCTACACGGTATAGTGTCACTTGATACTTACAAGTATGATACAGATATACGCAAAGTATTTGGCTAGACAGCTTGAATATCTCAGATGCAATAAGATATATTTCTAAATATATAATATTGGGCTAATCTCTGTATTACACTTTTTATTTCATCCATCTGCGACCGGATTGGGTGCTCTCATATATGTATATATTCTGAGCAAGTAGTGAGACAACTATCGAGCGCACCGAGTATAAGAGAAAAGAGAGAAAACGGGTTAACAGATACCGTTTATATTGGAAAGGGGAGAAAGCTCCATATGATCTGTAGAAGTAGCAAGAAATTCATAATATCACACCTCTCCAGTGAAATTTCCCCAGTGTAAATGAACATAATTTAGAGTTCGGGAGAATGTTAGATAAATATCTTTCGTAGATTTGCCTGTAAAACGTTTACGATAAGTAGATTGGAATCGAACGAAATTATAACATGCCAGTAAAATGTTCGTATATGTCTATATTGAGACGGCTAAATGCACACAATGGATTTCCGGTGTGTAAGCACGTAGAAAATGACCTTGTCGATATCAACGAGAAATCAGCTCTGATCACTTCAAATGAATCGAAAACGCATTGCTTGGGAAGACACACAAGGCTATGGTGTGAAGGTTTTGGTGAAGGTAGCCAGTGGCGATGGAACGAGAACTAATCGCATGATGGTGGGTCAGGTCCTGGAAAGTTGAAACTGGGCATCGCAGGTAAGTTACCGAGATTGTATATTTAGGCTCGGGAAATATGACCGAGCAGAGGTAATGCCAGCTCGTTCAAGAGATGAGAAAAAGTTGGTGTTATGAAGATTTGCCTATGAACATTTCCTGACAAGTTTGGCCTCAGGCCCTAAGCTAGCTTGCAGCCAAGTGCCTCGCAAAACCACTACCTCCGAGATCCGTAGGAGGTAGAGGTACCTGTCAACGCGATGGTGATGATTCAAACGAGTGCTCTGGTTATGTCTCCTCGTCCACGAGCGTTGCTCGTCGTTGCTCGTCACAGTATTCTTTCACAAATGTTCTGGATCGGGGAGAACAACATTAAAGAGGAACCTCAGCCATGACAGCTTTAATTTGTGTTCAGTGATCGAATTCTCTGAATCGCCTGCCTCTGTATCTCATGCAGACTGTTGACTGTCACTTCTTAGTGCTCCTGCACTGTTGTGGAGAAATCCTAGTGGTTGTTAGACGTAAAGGTGAGAATCGATTTACTGAAGAATATTGACTAGATTAAGTTCATGGTCGTGGACCGTCAGAAGTGAATTCCGCTTACCATTTCCCGGGCACGGAACAAACTTCCGATCGTAAGAGTTGCCCCCGGTTTTTCGAGTAAAATTTTCCTGATACTTTAGTTGTGAACATCAGTTCGGAATCCGAAATAGATTGCACAGTTAGGCTATAGCCATTTTCAGCAATAGAGAGAGACCTGATCATTCCTGTTCATTTAAAATTATAAGATGATCATGCTAAACATAATCATCCGCTGTTACTCACTCAACCCTAGGCCAAGCCTCCATAGTGTGAGCCCTTCAATTCATCATGACCTGAAAATACTGTCACTACGTGCGGCAAACTTTTCAATCATAATTGAAGACCAGGTTTCGGTGGAGGGCTACTGCGAACTAACGTCACGTCAGATTTAGCGCGTGCACATTAATGAGAGAATCTCCGTTCGGTCAGCTTGAGGCCTGAACTATCGAAACTCTACGAACATCTGGATCCATGATACAGTACGTCCCCTGTAGACGGGCATAACATTCTTTGAATGGTCTCGAGCTCAGAACGTCCGCGCAAAATTTATATTCGGTCCCTTGTAACGAAGCGATATAACCTATGTTCGCTGGACTGCTGTCGGATATTAGTTGCCACTGTCATAAAGTCACGTCCAGTGGGTACTGAACCTCAGAACATCGTCGTCTCTGAGGCGAGGATGAAGGTCGCATTTCCGCTTGGAACTATCTTCGTGTCTTTAGTCGACTGATCAAGTTGACACTGGTAAAGTCGGATCCCTCATCGGCTGCCGGTGGTCCTCACAGGGGACAACAAAGACAGCTCATCTTAGGAACTAAAACCAGGATCATTGTATCTCTTTCTCCAGAAAAGTCGATAATTCTATAAAGCCGAAGAGTTCAAATGAATCTTTTATGACTACTGATTTCAAGTCAGAAAAGGTATTCGAATGCTCATATAGCATCAGTTTGCTGGCGGAGAGATCTTGACCAAATCTGCTGAACGCTTTCGCAGCTAAGGTTGTGGTCATAACCTCCATCTCTGCCCACGCAGATTCATCTTAATCACACAGCTAATTCGAGTTTGTATATAATAAGCCAGAAATGCAGCGTAAGCGAAGTTCGCAACATTGCATGGAACAGAAAATATGCATCTCTCTTTCTTCCGGTTCTTGTTGCAACTTCGTTGTGGACAGAATGATTCCAAATCGTATGGACCACTACGACTTCTTGATTTTTCACTCACAGTCCATCTATTACATGTATTCGAAGAGAGTACTGAGATCAAATGAGACCATTGCAAGCATCTATATTAAAGCCCCACACACACAGAAGACCCTCGAATCAATGAGTGGAGTTCAAATGCATAATAATATGAATGCGTGCAAGAATGTTGCAGTGACTACAGTACAATCACGCCATCTACAGAACCTTCTCTCGGGGTTGACGATTTACAGATGCTCTGAAGACGGATCTACCGCAAGCACTCCTTGCAATTTCTATCTGATTAGCATGAAACCGAGGAATTGCAGTAACACAATTACGGTAATCGCGGGTCCTTATAACACCACCTCTCACTGGAGTTTAATTGTTGCAGGCGCGTCTTACGGAGTTTACCGCAATTTGATGACCTGACATCCTACAGGAAGTCCGGCGAATGAATCCCGTCACACTGATCCTCAAGAATCAAGGCAAGAGTTCGCGAGATACTATCGGAGAAGCTTTTGAGAGAGCAGTCCAAAAATAGGAAAGGTTTGGCTCCAAGGGCCTCCCTTAAGACTCCGCACGAATATCAGGATCGGCAACTTTGTTTGCAGCGAAGTTGAGCGGGCTGTGCACTAATTGATCCAAAGTCACGAGAAAGCGCCAAAACTGAACATTCAGCGAATTAATGCTGGTCAGACAACGCTCGGTCGACAGATCATGTTACTGTACAGCTGAAAGCTTTTTCGCGACTTCAAAGTTCGAATATACCGCGCCTATGTCCTTGGAGACGTGCAACGTGGCGCTAGTCACAAAGATATTTGTCACACGATTTTGTCACCTCCAATTGTCAAAAACTGGAAATTAACATCTAGCTGGAGCTGCTGGCCTCGAGTTCCATACTCACCTTTTCCACAAAAGCTCCGGTTCCTGATTCTGTAGACTCGTTATCGATTCAAGTTAACAATGACAACTTCCTACTCCTCAAGGTTTGCCGCTAAGCAACCAGATCGCTTGGGCATTCCTTGGCTGTTACGGTGGCCACGAGTCAGGGGTAAAGTTGCCAACAATCAGAAGCAGGAGGAACGCTTCTTAAGGCTGACATGTCGTGGGTCTAGAACCTACACAGGGCTGAGAAGAAAAGAACGCTTTGAGACAGACATTGAACTGCGAAGGCCATTGGCTCGTCCAAACTCCACAGAATCAACGCAGACAAACTTTCCTTTGCTTCGATCGTGGCTCAAGAAGCAATAGGGCTTTTGCGACGCAGATCAGCTCCAGGCTGTAAAATGTTGAGCGCAGTTTTTCTTCTTTCTTTACGGCCCACAAGTGATGAGTGAACCATTTTTCACTGCGAGTGAAAAACCCCGTCCCCATGGACAAGAATTTGGGAGACAGAAGCACGATAAGATAGACTACATATAGTAGGTGATCATTAAAGTCAGCCTCTCTTACGAGCTAGGCTACAACAGCCTCAAGCCTGTGCAGTGAATTTCTAAGAAAGCCTTCTTGGTCCTGCATGGCTATCGGTCAGATGTGCCGCGGCCAAAAGCTCAAAAAACTCTAGCCAAAACCTGCAGCTATTGCTTTAAGGTAAGGCTACATATTGCATGCATACCAATTGCATTGTATGAACCTCCTTGAGAAGTGATCGTTTATTATGTTTCCATCCTCTAAACCTAACCCTTTACTTCTTGTTTACAATCGACCATCGATGTATCATTCCGGGCTGCCTTTCCCTTCCTTTTTAAAGGATAAGAATATGTCACCCATCGCCTCTATACATTTCACTCAAAGTCAGCACGTAGCGTCCGGTCCATCAGAAAGAAAACACTTGTTACATAATTGGGGTCAAGCCTTTGCGCAGGGAGATGCACCGGTAATGGACTATGTCGTCTCAAATATCTCATGCACTTACCTTGCTGTTATTTTCAAGCGGGCTATTCACTAGGTTCCGCAGTAACTCCAGCAATCGAAAGCATTCAAGAAAAACTCAAGAAGATTGAAAAGCTCGTAGCAATCAAGGGAAGGAAGTTAAATCTCCTGAGAAATGTCAGTACCAAAGGCTGGACGTTCTGCTTACGAAGTCAAAGTCCAGGCGGTTGAGAATGGACAGTAGACTTTACAGCCTACGAAGCCATCCCCGAATGCAGACTAACGATGGAACATACAACGCACGTAATCTGGCTGTCAGTTTCCAACTCAACGAGGTGATCATGCGCCGTAGGCGTAAGACAGCCAAAATCAAAAAATGGTCTATGTAACCCTTAGCGGTGGTAGCAGCAAGATCTTCAGATGACGATCGAAATTGTCCATGTCCATGTACAGACTGAAACCCTATACACAAATTCATTATGAAACAATTTCGGCGCCCACTTGCTTCAGCGGCAATGATGCTCCGAAACACCTCGCCTGGCGTTTCTATCAATAAATTCGTCTGACTCGTGAGAAGAGTTTTGCTTGGTATGCTTCTCGTGACTTGGGTTCAAAGATAGATGGCTCGATTTTAATTGTGGCGATTGAGGATTGTCTTTACCTGCTCTAAACAACTCGAGCGATTATCCTTGCGAAGTATGATGTGAGATCGAAAACGTGATGCTTGCATCTGTGGGACGAGGTGGATCTGCATTTTCGCTGATTCTACACAAACTTCACTTTTTCCAGAGTGTGAAAATAATGACCTTCAACTGGCAGTTCATGAGTAACTACCATGGCCAAACCTAACACCGAATCTTCGGTTAGAAGGTTAACCCATCAAAGGCAAATCAAAAGGAGATTGCACTCATGAGGTTCCCGATGACTTCATAGTTTCAAGAGTCCGTCATTATGAATTACAAATATCATTGCGACCTGAACAGTATCAAATGGAACATCACGCAAGAGTCTGTGCGCTTAGGTGGAGATTGATCCAGTTGTGCCATTAATTTTAGACTGTTGCATTATTTTTGGACCAAACGAGCTCCCTTGGACTATTTGTATTTTTTGTTTGGTCATTATGATTTTAGTGTATATTAGTGTAAATCACGAAGATCCATAGAGAACCCATTAGGTTGATGATTATACTTTGCCATAAACAGGAGCACCTCTATCATCATCAAATGATCAACAACATGAATCATGAACCACCTTTCCTAGCGATTAATTCCATCTTTAGATGAAAAGAATTATCCATTGTGATATCCAATATAATAAAAATCTGAAAACTGAAATGAGTTTTCTTAACTGAACTCTAATCTTTATTTAATTCTTAGTTTTTCGTGTGATATATATGCATATATTGATTTCTCTTGAAAATGTATTCATATATGAAGCAAAATTATCACCACATTTATATCAATTTCCAATCAAGAGTAAACTCTGAGGTGCGATGAAATGAGATACCAAATTTGTGTAAAAAAAAAGACGATGTAAAGTTGATCACGAAGATCAAGAAATTGACAAGAACAGCAACTGCAGCCGGGGCGGAAAGATTTAGAGTTGCGTGAGCAAGCGCCAACGAGTGGCATTAACAAGAACTAGCATGAAACGTAAAACCTTGATGTGCAAGGTAGTATTATCGTTTTTACACCGTCCAGTAATACCAGCTTAGCCCATTGACTAATTGGCGATAGTAAGCCAGACATTGACTTCGAAATAACTAATGTCTTTTTCCAGCAATGCACTCCCATAACTCCAATGTTGGCTGCTTTTCCCTGAAGTCAAATGTTCATCATCTCAATTTAGCAATAAGACAAAATTTCCTTTGTTTAGAATCACAAACTTCTTAATCTACGGAAATAAAAAATTTAGTTTACAACTGCCTTACAGACTGAAAATCTACAACATGTGTTGAATTTTTCTACTGATTTAGGAAGGTCTCGGTCCAACATAAAAGTTTCAACATTTATAACAATCTTGATGACGTCTTCAAGTTTCGGATCACTCAAACAGAATACAGATGATATCTACAGATATTTTTCGTTTGAAAAAAGTAAAAGGTCTTCAGACCCACGATAGCTAGAAAAAATGTCTTTGAAGAATAGACAGAGGAAGAAACCCATTTTGATTTTTAAAAGGTTGTAGTGCGTAGGTCCTTCAGACCCACGATAGCTAGGAAAAATTCCGTGAAATATAGATAGACGAAAAATCCCATATCCATTTTTCAAAAATAGTGTTGTTTCGGTCTTTCATATATTATGATAGCAAGAAAAGAAATTTCGTGAAAAAAGAAGAAGATGGAGAGAGTCCCATATTGAGTTTTCGAAAAAATGTATTTCTGAAACATCAATGTGGGAATCTCTATCTATTTTCTTTTCTAATTCTATCCTCTATCCTGTTGAGTTGTGATTCGAGTGGTTGCAATAGCAGTGAAGGGACGGAATGTATTAGTTTATACAACGCCACGAGGATTTTTCTCGTGTCAAAATGGGGGAAAAGAGGATAAGTGAAAGTTGATTGGTTCAACTCGATCACGCCACAATTGACCTGCGTTTCCGGATTATGAATCATTGACACATTAAGTGCCAGACTCAAATGATTGACGAGAGAAACAGAGAAGGAAGACCCTATCATTCGAATGATAGGGTGTTCCTTCTCTCGCATAACGTCCGGGCCTGTGTGGGAATGTGGTCAACTTTTGGAATGGAGATTCTCATTTCCAAAGAGACGCTTGCTTTAGCACGCCGTAATGTCCAGCCCGGGGACGATCGTCAGCAGCGGGTTCATGTCGACGACAATACTTGGAAGAGAACGGGAGACGTGGAAAAACCGAGAAACGATTTGGCGATGCTGGAGCGGGAGAGATATTGTACTCTAGCTGTTTGAGTGAAACGCGAGTAGAGCCCACCGTTACAGCACAAGTGGATTCTAGCTGCAATAAACGTCGGCCCAGCCCGCGGTGCGCAATCAGCATGAAAAAGGGCCTTGAGGGCTCTGGAAAGCTCCCCCTTCCATGGCTCGCTTTTCCAGCGGTGAAGCGGGGCAGAGGTTCTGAGTTCTTTGACATGTTTTGGCAGTGTTGATCCAACTTTGGAATATATGCTCGCAAAGGTGTTCTGCTTTTGAGGTCATGTGTCTCGTTCATGTCATGCTAGTGATTTGAATGCGGTAATAAGACCAGTGGTTTGCTTTTGCCCAAAGACAAATCTCCGAGAACCCCAACGAGAGGTGAGGTGCGGTGCGGTGAAGTCCAACTCGTTTTCCAAGGCAAGGAAGTAAGGACGTGGGGTTTGATATAGCTGAAGCATTTCGAAATTGTAGGAGTATATGATTGTACTCTACAAACATAAGCACGTCGCAGAAATCCGCTCTACCACTCAGGGTCTATCCAGCTTTCTTCAGGGTAGAGAGATGCAAATCAGTCTTTTGCTGGATTTCAAATCGAAGTCTAGCTCAAATAGCTTGCTGCTCCAAATTTCCGGTCATGTGAGAAGCTGCATTGCAGATCATCATCCTCCTGGAGTGCAGTAAAGTGTACCCATGATGTAATGTGAAACAGAAGATGATGTGGGCAACGCGAGACTTCAAATTACGGGATGCAATGAGTACGAGGCTCAAATCTTTCTACGTCCTGCTCTTGGATACAAGAACATTGTCCGAATCTCATGCACACCACTCATGTCGTGCTCGTGTTACATGCGCTTGTTTCAGTGGAAATCCGCTAAATAACGATAAAACAAGCCTAAAAAGTTAGGATCTATGACCTAAAAAAGCTCACATTGACTTCTCCCGTTGAGTGAGCAAACAGAATTCTTCTGGACTTCGTCAGCTACAATTCTCGGTTCCTAGAATTGGTGAACACGCACTTTTCAATATCAGATATTTTGGAATTTCTATAAAAGTCGATTCTTCGGTGATTCCCCATCTCGATGCCTCACACAGATTTGGGAAGTCTCATTAAAGATCCTGATTCAAGTAGGATCTTCAAATGAAATCAAATGTTGATAAATACAAGGATCAAATAAGAACTTTCCTGGGATAGCAAACCTGATCCTGGTGCTAACTGTAAAACAACTTCTTTAAATATATAACATGACAATTTGTTAAGTGGAAATAAGACATGTGAAACCAGGAAACATGATCAATTTTGATCGGATTTATATGTTAATAGAAATTTGGATTGAGAAGATCTTAAGAGTGATTTCTTGTTTCATCCGAAAATAAATGATTATTTGCCTTCATGAACTATGTTAAAAGATATTTGTGCTATTGAACCATGAAGCTTTGATGGGCAATGTACTTCTAAACTATAAGTTTGGAAAAAAAAATAAAAAATAATTTACATATTTCATAAGGCGGTTTATGTGTCTCCAAGAAGAGTTGAAATGACAAAATTTGAAATAAAGTAAGTAATTCTCAGCAGGTAAAATGACCTCATATATGTAAAAGATTCAAATCCAATATGATATAATATTTCTCTTCTAATATACAGAACTTTGATTATTATATGTCACAAAGGTCATTGCATAACATACATTTTTTATAAACAAAAATATCCTTTTCATCTGTGTATTTAATTAAAATCTAATAGAAGTAAAGCATTATATTCATTTTCCTAGTTGGAAAAATGTGTGCAAACTAGATTTCCATCCTATAAGCTCGCTACAAGGAAGAAAAAAAAGGCCCATAACATACCGATCAAGCTACAACGTAGATGCGCGACATGGTGATAGCTAGAGATATAAAATATGAGACGCATGAATCAAGAACCCGGGGTCAAAAACATCACAAAGAGACCGTGAAGATGTGCTCAAGACAACAGTAAAACACCAAGCGTAAGGCTAGGGAGAAAGAGCTCTACCGATAACAAAGATGACTGTACTGTGTACGCAGAAAACAATTTCATATGCAAAGGTTACTCTTCAGGTCAGACATATGCCATTGAGAAAAGTAGATATGGAAAATCAATTCGCAGGTTGTATCAGTCTCAATACTATTCAACCCCTAAGTGTACATTCCCTAGCTGGAAATCCTACTAGAAAATCCTTAGATTTGGAAATAAGAGCTTTTGTCCTTTTTCTGATGAAAATTCTGTTGTATCTGTCATTTCGGTGCCCAAGGGTTTGTCTTTTGTTTTGACGGAACATGTAACAGAAAATATTTACAATGGTCCTACATTGAATTAAATATTTGATTACTCTCTTGTTCGCTAGCTTTTTTATTTATTTATTTAAGAAAAGCAAACTCAGTATCGAGCATCGCGACCACAATGCCACTGTAGCTCTCTTTCAATGTCCATGAAATTATCTAATTTCTTCGTTGTAGAGCATGCTTGCATATAACGTGATGTGTATACAAACAAACAAATATTCTATACCTAGTAGTAAGTCATGTAGTTGTATATAATCTAATCGTACAATAAAGCATGTAAAACTTAACATGGATCTACTAAGCCACGGGCTTTTGATTTTTCGCTCAATTTATATAAGAGTATGTTAATAAAATAATCAAAAGCTATATGTAGACATATAACTTGATCATATCTAGTGGATATTTTCTCCGGAGAAGGATTCACTGCGCTACACAACGTACTCGCCACCAATTTTCTTTGATGAGTTGTGCCGTTATAACACACGAGCTTTTCAAAGTAATCACCACAATATGCCTTTGTATGGTTCTTATTTACGTTTTTATTCTAATCGACCCCCTTGCCACGGGCAATTTTTAACAGAAGGTGTCATCGTTTCGAAATGCCCTTCCATATACATCGGTATGTAGTCAAGGCTAGACAACATTTATATATGATATTTTACACAAGACTCATTGACATTAAGCATGACGGAAATAAACTCATTTTGAGGAGAACGTCACTCATTACGGCAAAGATGTAAGGGAAGTCACTACATCTGATTGGATAATATTCTGCGGTGGATTCTTTACTAGCTACCACATGCTTTTGACTTGAGATGATTCCATCCTTGATTGCTGATGATAATTCCGTGATAGTTTTGAATAATGTACTTCTTTGTATCAAGCCGATTCGGAAAGTCTTTTCATGATAGAATTACGCTTTCTCTATATTTCTTTCGGGATCAACATAATTCGCTACATGGTCTTTCTGGAGCCACAGTTTCATGCGTGGACTAATGAAGATCTCAATCATCAGTACTCCGGAAGAGCAACTCTGCCGCTTAATACGACGAGGAACAAAATGAGGTTAAAGGCTAAAATTTGAGATGTCCCGACTCGTGATAGATTCCTGTGATGAAATGCTGGCGAGCCCATTTCTGAGGGAGGTTGAATTAACTTATTTTCACGGTTTTTTTCCTCTAGAAATAGCCCTGGAGGACTCTACAGCCCATACAAAATGTGGATATTTCGTCGGGCACATTTCACCTCACGAGCAGTGTCGGGCCGCTAAGTTTGAGGTCACACCTCTACCCTACGACAGACAAAGATGCTCTTATCCACACCAAATATCTGAAAGTGGCCTTGGACACCAAAATGGCCCCCGAAAAATCTAAGCACCTCCAACAATTCGAATGGTTCGGAAATGTGGCGCGACCGATCCGATAATGCGAATGCGGAAGACCTGGGCACCCCACATCTCATCCGGAACCCGATTTTTCTCTCTCGCCGCTTAGTCGAATTAATGCGCCCATACTCCTCCGCCTGCGGCCCCGAAGGAACCGAGCTCGCTCTCACTCCGTCCCTCGGGGCGTAAAGTCCGTAAGACGGGAGGAGTTTTAGGTCGGGCAGAGAGAGAGAAGGCCGAGCTAGATCCGGTGGGGACTGAACATGAGGCAGAATTTGGGCAGCATGTTCTTATACGTGATTGCAGGAGAAGTGAGACCGACGCTTATTTTAAGGTTTGTTGGAAAGTCTCGAGGTTCGCTGCCCTGCCCTGCGTGAGACTTAACGAAGGCGGCCGGGCAGTTTACATTTCGCAAATCGGAGGTGGAAGTCCGTCCAGAAGAGGTACAGAACCTCGCGGCGTAAAGAATCGAAAGAAACCCAACACGGAACCCGAGGCCGGAGCAGGGCAGCGCAGCGCAGCGTTGGGCAGGGCAGTGAAGGGGAGGGGAGGGGAGGGGAGGAGGAGGCGGAGGGCAAGGCCGGTGCTCGTGCTGCTGCTGCTGCCGGTGTGGGGTGGGGTTGGGGTATGTATATAGGCCGGGAAATCTCGGGTCACATCTTTTGCTCTCGTCCTTCGCTGCAGGTCTTCGACCACAGCAACGACAACAACAACAACAAGGACAGCCAGCAGCAGACGCTGCTCTGAGCTGCTCTGCTCTGCTCGGCCACCCTTCGCTTTCGCTCGTTTCGCTCCGCTTGGCTCGGCTGCTGCTGCTGATGATGCTGCAGTTGCTGGTGGCGTTCGAATGAAGGATCGCGACGACGGCTGTTCTGCGGGCCTGGCATCGACGTCCGCCGCGGCATCATCATCGCACCCGCGCGGGGTGTAATTTTGGAGGCGTTGCGGCTGCTGCTGCAGCAAGCAGCTGAGGTCCGAGCTGCGCGCGTTGGCGGATAGATAGATTTGAGGAGAGGCGTTTGATTTGGAAGGGGTGTGGTGCTCGCTGTGAAGTCGGACGACAGCTGCCGAGCTGCCGCCTCGTCGTTGGCTCGGCCTTGCGGTTTCAGGCGTAGGCAGACGCCGACATAGAGGGGTGTTTTTTTGGGGGCCTTTTGAGCATGTGGATAATAGAGTCGGAAGGTTGAAGGCGAAAGAGCCGGAATGGAGGCGACGCGACGACGAACGAGGTAGAAAGAGCTGGAGACGTCGGACGAGAAGGGTTTTTTTGTCATGCCCGGATGTTCGCAATGCGCGCATCTCGTGACGAGCTGTTAGCGTTTAGAGCAACCCCGTGCAGAGGCGGAGGTCGAGACAGGAGAAGAGTGGGAGGGTTGTAGCGTTTGATCTCTCGGGAGCTAAATCTTGGAGTGAATCGAAACGAGGTGGACCGATTTGGGTGAATGTTGTGAGGACAGTGCCGCGCGAACTGTGCAACTTCCTCATCGTGAATCCAACTATTTGGGGAGAAAATTGGGATGTCGATGCACGCCCGCTCGTGTTAGCCAGTAGAGTGGCTTTCTCTGGCATCGAGGGAGGTTCTAAGGAGAGGATGAAAGAGGAATGGGACCAGAGTAAACGTGAGTGATTGGCCCGCTCAGAATGGCGGGCTCCGTCGGAAACAATTCCACCACGAATTCTAGTGCTGCAGCAACCTCTGCGTCGCCGGCCGTCAATGGGAATCATAGCAGTATGTATAACAGCAATGCACAGGGAGCGTCGACTCAGTCGACAACCACGACGATAAACAGTGGCAACAATGGTATTAGTCGACCAAACGGCCCCGCCACTAATGGAAGCGGGAATGGGACCAACAGTGTCGCTTCGGACCAACCCCCTCCTCTTCAGCTCCAGTTGTTACATGACCCAGGGATCACAGCGGATTGGAGCTCTGAGGAGCAGGCCACTCTCGATGATGGACTGACAAAGTGAGTTATTTTAACCATCTGTATTGGTTCCTGAAACTACTAGAACTCTCAAAATCCGGCGCTTCTGAGCTCTCGATGAACTCTATACAATCGTCCTTGCCCGGTTCCAAGATTTGGAATGCCGTGTTCTACGTCCTCTATCTGGTTGCACTTCTCAAGGGCGAATCATATCGAAAATAAATAACTATATTTGAGAGAGAGAGAGAGAGAGAGAGAGAGAGAGAGAGAGAGAGAGAGAGAGAGAGAGAGAGAGAGAGAGAGAGAGAGAGAGAGAGAGAGAGAGAGAGAGAGAGAGAGAGAGAGAGAGAGAGAGAGAGAGATCCGGGCTGACCTAATTGTTGCATGATATCACATCCAGTTTAGAGGATGTGATATGATCTGGAGCTCCCATACCATATCAGCTTTCGACATCTTACTGGCCTATTTTTCAATGTGAGATTGTATTTAAATGATTCGTAGGCACGGAAGGTACCAAGCTCAAATCTATCCAGTCAGTGGTAGGAATAGGTGTTTGTTTCTGTTAACAGTCAGTATAAACATGTTGTGATATGCCGATGTAGCGTAGCTCTTAGCTGGTTGTAAAAGCACGAAGCATATCAGAGGACCCTGCTCCAGGACAATAAACTTCAACAGCTCGTCGCATTTCTCCTTCTCTCCTCGTCACAGGTCTAGATAGTGTATCTTAAAATAGTTTCATGTTAGAGAGGCTTACCTTATTCAGGTTCTTAGCGTTGTCTCTCATACGGCTGCGTCAGTTGAGGTTCCGTGGAGTTGTCGTAAAGTTGATTCATACAACTTATTGATAGAGGCATGTTTGTGATTAGGTTTGCCGGAGAAACAAGCAATCTGGCTAAATACATCAAAATAGCCAATCTGTTACCGGAGAAGACAGTCCGAGATGTCGCCATGCGTTGCAGATGGATGACGGTATGTTCCCGCTTTCACTAACTTTTGCGTTTTAAGTTTCTTAGTCGAGTTCTGTTGAATCAGTTTATAATAAGTACCGTCGTGGAGGATTTCCAAGGGGAAATGATGTATCAGATGTTTCTCGCTTGGCAATTATTTTAATATTTAGACCAGTGAACTTAGGATCGTACTGATGACGGCAATGCTTTGTGGTACAGAAAAAGGAGATTGGCAAGAGGCGTAAACCTGAGGATCAAAATGCAAGCAAGAAGAATAAAGACAAAAAGGTTAAATAACAACTCCACGCCCGTGTATGCCGACAGTAGCCTTCCACTGTTCTCCGGTTGTACTGACTAACATTAATATGGTTCAATGGATTCAGGACAAATCCGACTCGATGTCTACCAAGGCTCCCACTGGTCATATCAGACCCGGTTTGTCTAGCTACACCGCTCCTACACCGAACGTCGACAACGACGACGGCATCTCCAACGACGGTTGGTTACTTTGCTCTCTTATTCGATCTTAGCTCTAGTCTGCCGTGCTTGTCCACTTGGCTATACTATGTCCTTCACTTTTCTGATTTTTCATGTCTCCCTTATGTCCAGGAGTGAAACCTAACCGTTGAGCTCCTCCTCTTTAAATTATATACTTTCCTGGCGCAAGCTTCAGGGTATCGGTTCTAGTCTGGCCAGAACACCACTTAGATCGTGCTTACTCATATCTCTCCTCCTTGTTTGACCGGGAGGTTTTGCGTCCTGCCAGTGCTTGTGCCGATGCCTAGGTTGTGATGTTACTAATTCGATTTTGTCGTCGCACTGAATGTACAGCAATTGGAGGCACAACTGGCCAGCTGTTGGAGCAAAATTCTCACGTGATATTGCAAATCAGGTCAAATCTTGCTGCCATGAAGGTACGTGGAAGATTGAAGTAGAGAGTCCTCTGGTCACCTAAAGCAAGTCGAGGTCCTCTGGAATTCAAACTATCTCTGTTTATGAACGCTGTCTTTCTCAAAGCCGGTTGTATGTTGTAAATTTGGATGTGCAGCTGCAAGAGAACACCGAGCTTCTCGTAAGATTCAGGGATAACATCTGTGCCATCTTAAATGGGTGAGTTAGAACAACTTGACCGGCGGACTTTGAATCCATTAAATACAGTTGATTTCCAGCGCAGGCAGTTGGCTTTGTTATTTTATCATTTGATCTTTTGTTCTAACCTGGTGTTTTGCATATTCAGGATGACAAACATGCCGGGGATTATGAGTCAAATGCCACCTCTCCCTGTGAAACTCAATACCGAATTGGCAGATACGATCCTTCCCAAATCTTTACCACAAGCGTCTCCAACTTCACAAACGTAACAACAGATGATGAAGTTGTTGAATGTTTCAGTCCTCTGAACCTTCCTGTAGATTACATCCATAGATATTATGGTAAACGGGGTGCTATGCCTAGAATGTTTCGCCAAAAGGGTTTGCAACTATGACGTAGCTCTTTGCATATCCCTTGGTTTCCGTCGAAGGCCGGGAATAGGAAGGTTTGTAGTTCCACCATCCCTAGAGCAACTGTTCATAGATCCATACACAGGCTAGTCAATTTTATCAACTCATTGTTAACGATGTCTAGAAGGCATGTGCAGGGCCACTAGGCCTGGGTTGTCCTCTATAGACACTGAAGGCTCCAGAAGTGCAAGCCCCAAGGCTATGCCTCTCAGCCTCCAGCACCAGCCAATTAAATAGAAATTAAAGTTTCTCTTTCTGTTTTCTGAAGGTAAGGGGTTTGGATGGTCTAGAAAGAATACATTACCAAGCCAACAACCCCAAGTGTCACCACATTTTAGCTTTAGTAGTTTATTGCAAGTTCTGTGGAAGCTTGCGTCCTTGTGGGCGACGGTGCTAAGCTTACACCAGCTTAAGTCTCAATCCGACTTCCAGTACCTCCGGTCAGTGTCGTCGGCACTAACGTCCCCTGTCCAAGCCAACAGGATGGTACTGACCGAATTTGGACGGCGAGTAGAAGTCACCAGTTTCGTGTGCAGCTACTTAATGTGTGGCTGAACGCTGTTACATAGTGGAAGGTTTTTTTACCTGAGGTTTGTGCTTCTGCTGCCTTGCGCACGCACACCTTGGTATCCATGCTGTAGGTACAATTTTGATATGTGGATTCTGTCATGCTGTTGCCAGGAAAAGTATTTCCGCAGGCGTAGTCAGCACTTGTATAAACGAAAAGGAATTCTCCTTGTTGAAAAAACTTAATGAGCAAGAGCGAATGTTTACACGCCCTCTGGTTACACGTGAGAGCAGCTTTTGGCTGGCGATGACTGTCCAGTGTGAATGAACTGGACTTCTCTGGACTTGGTTGTGTTGCGTTGACTATACGTGCCATCTGGAGCAGAGCAGCTAGTCGCGAGTCGGCCGAAGCAACGTCTCGTTTTGACCCCCTCGCACGCCCACTCCACGCCCACCGCGTGGGAACGACGGAAACCCGGTCACATCGCCAAGGACGACACGCCAGGCGGTGTCTCCACGACTGCCCGACCCCGTCCACCTCACCTTGCCAACTGTTCCGGTGCCTCTAAAGGCGATGACGGGCATTCCACGGGGCACGGGCCACCTTTCGCGCCAGCCGTGCATCGCTTCGTTGGCGCCGGCGGCGGTGGCCGGAACCGCAGTTCGTCGTGGTCATATTTCCGTGGCACGTCGACGTGGCCGAGTTTCGTTCGCCATCGGTCTACGTGGCATACTCCACGCGCGTCTACCGGAGGATGTGGGCTCGGTTCTCAGTCACTTCGTGCCGTATCCCGTCCTAAATATCCGGGGACCGGACGCGAGAGAGCGGCCCTTCCACGCGACTCTCGTCGAGCTGTGGAAGAGTGGCCACTCCGCCGGTCGCGAGCGTTATGTCGCCAACGGCTACAGCCTACAGGCGGTCCTTGTAGTAACATTCAGCGAGGTTGACCGGCACTTCCTCGTGCGGTATTATCGTTCCAATACGCGCAGAGGCCCACTATTAATGTCGCAGCAGTGTATTCCTGTTCACTTTTGATCAATCGAGAGTCGATGCGTGCCCGTCGTCTACTTTAGTATGTGACTGGCGAGCAATAGCGGTACTATCGAACATTCACTATCCCGAAGCATTTGGTTCCTGAGAATTTATTCCTGTTGAAGTTGATTTGACTCGAGAGTCCAAGCCTACTATCCGGCTACATTTGATGCTCACGTAGGAAGTACTTGATGTGCCTTCAGTAGTAAGCGAGGGTCTAAGCATGCAGCCATGAGTGAGAACTTGTTGGGTATTGAAGGTCCAACGCTTGTGGACATTCATTACCACTAGCGTTGTAGATGTGCAGTTGCGAAGAACGCGATCTCCCACCAGCACGATAACATAGGAACACGGCGCAGGCGCATGAGGAGGTGAGGTGCCCGAGCTTAGAGCAAGGGAGTTACTGCTGAAGGAAAATCAACATTGATGATAAAGTGACGAGTGATTCCGCGTTCCAGTGAAGAGTGGGAAGTTCGTGGGTCTAATTTTAGGCCGTCCCGGAAAAGGGGCAATCTTGATGAAATCATCACCTACCTCTACTCGATAATTTTCCTGACTTCGGAACCACAGAGAAACTCCGTAGACATATCTGTTCCCTTCAGCTCCTGGCTTCCGTCTAGCATCCGAGCTGCACAGCTCCGTCCGCTCGAAGAACTCTCCGTCCTTTGTAGCTTGGTAACTGTCCACATTTTCCTGATTACTCGAGCCTTTGGAAGAAGGCAGGGATGGAAAAGTATCCTCGAAACGACGGTTGGTTGCATGTGCACATAGATCCGTGTCACAGTGCCAAAAGTTGCCATGGAGCCAGCCACACAAACACAACAACCGCAGTACATACACTCCTGACAGAAGGAAGAGCTTTTGGTCCAACTCAGGTTCGTACTGCTCGGTAATTCCAAAAAACGAAAGTGATAATCATGTGCTTTCAATTGGTAACGTTTGTAAAAACAAAATACCGTGTCAAAATTTACACTGACACTAGGATGAACTCTGAATTCATCGATCGAAGGAGCCGCGCAAGCCACCCGGCAAAACCATTGTGATGTGAAACTACTGCAACAAAACAGTACAAACACTAGAAGCTCCACCCTCGGAATCAAAAAGCCCCCGTTCATATGCTCTCCCACTGTGGCAACTGCTAATATAAGAACTCAAGCGTATATCACGATTGAGAACTGAACCAAATTCTCCAGGGCTGCGACAACTCGCAAACTTTGAGAAGATGCTCTACCCTCCTGTTGCTGGCAGATTAGAATCCTTTCTTCCGAGTATTGGCCTCTGAGAGACGAGACGTCAGACGGGGAAGACGGTCTTAACACACTCTGCTTCAGCCTCCGTGACTACACGTGTTGTTGATCGAGAGGTTGGGCTGCTATGCCGTGGCAATCAGATAAACTTGTGGCCCACGAGGATACTTATGCTCTGCTACCCATGTTGATCGTAAACACCGGCGTAGATATGTATCCTTGTAACTCAGTGAGTTCTGAATTGTGTCTTGGTGAAGGGTACGGAGTTTGCGAGCTTCTTCGTCTAAATCACAACAGCTTGTGATGAGAGACGAAAACTTTCTATGTTGAATGTTTCTCAATTGTGCTGACCACACTATCCAGGACCTTTTTGGCTGTTCGTAGCAGATGGTTTGATCCAGTTCGAGAGTCACTTCCACTTGCGGAGCCTGAAACCTGGCTCCAGAAGCTAACCTGACAGCACTCGATATAACCTTCCGGATTGGATTTGGTACCATAACTCGACATGTCCAACCCGGCCCAACCACCACTCTCATTCACCTCTGTCGAAAAGTACATGTGCGCTGGAGTCGGTGAGTTCACGATGGTCTGATTCACAAGCCGTCCATCCCAGTACCATCTGATTCCACTAGCTTCATGAAGAACACCGTATGTACACCAATTTCCACTTCCCCAGGGCATACTGATCTCCTTATAAGCAGCTGATTGGTGGTTCTTCCCATACCCACTCCAATGTGTCGATGTATTGCCCATATGATCTATCGAATGTCTTTGGCCATCCATCTTCCGATGTTCCACCACATCGACTTCCACGCCTCCGGGAATAGTTCCTGCTGGGTACACTCTCGAGCCATCTATACTGTCAGGAAGAAGCCAGAAAGCAGCGTGCATGCCTTCAGCACCTTTGAACCGAACTTTGGCTTCATAATACCCATAGCCAAACAGCTGCTTGGTGGCAAGCCGGTCTATCCTGTGGAACCAGTCAGAGTAGACACACGTGCGTAAGCGGCTGACTTCCGCATCCTTGACAATGCTCGAGCAAGTGAAATCCCAATGAATCTCCTTATTCGAATGTGCATCCCACTTCCACTTGTTTGCAGGGTTTTCTCTCCAGTGCGAATCACCAAAAGGGTGAAAGTAGTTGTTGGCAAGCGTTGCTGGGTCGGTGAAGTCATCGTAGAACTGACAAGCCCACGTACCTCCGACCTGCTCCAACAGGCTGGGTTGGATAGGTTGAATGGGAGTCGTCATGGCTCTGCACCTGCCTCTTCTCCGATACTTTGTACGGTATACGGAGCGAAGAAGTTTTGCAATTTACGTACTTCCCGTTGTGCTTGATTTCTGCCAACCGAGAGTTTGGTCTGCGAGTCGAGGGCAACAGCATCAGCTGACAAAGCATGAAAGTGAACAAGCAATCCAAAAATCAGCACTGATTTTCAACTCACACCCGAGGAAGGTCAGAGTCACGGTGGAAGCGGTTAAAATCATTGTGAAACAGTCAGAAGGCTTCAAATATCAGCGGTGGCTGTTTAAGTGCTAACAGAATAAAAGCTCGAGCACCTTTGGCGAGATTTAAGACCCAACATCAATATCTGGATAAATCTGGTTATCTCAGTATTCTCCTACATCAGCAAATATACCAGTTTGTACAGAAGACAAATAAAGTGTTCTCTTCTCCTTGATAAAATGCGAGTGCATGGAGCAAAAGAGCTTGATTTGTTAGGAGACGTTAATAAGCTCAGCAAATTAGAAGAAAATACCTTCTTGACTATCTCAACTCAACAACATGAAACCTTCCCGGTTTCAAGTTGTTGAAGAGTAAAAAGAGATCCTACTGTCACATAAACGGAAAAGACGGGCTGGGACTACGAAGACGTCGAGGAGATTCATCACTTTAAAATGCAAAGTTAGGTTTGCCGACAACAAGTTTTGCAAGAGTAGGACTACAGCTATCGAGGTTATGCCACAGAGCTTGCTTTAAAAATCCCTCAGGTGACAGCCAGCAATCTTCGGCGTTCCTGAATCCTCAATCGAGAGGACACAATGTATGCTTATGTCTCACTGACGCGGAAGGACTATTCATTAGAAAGAACGAAGATATGATCAGAGGATGTTCAGTGGAGAAATTAGAACTGCAATTAGAGCGAGGGCCCTACTCCGATCAGATCAGATCAGATTTCGTCAGTCCGCTGCAATCGCTCTACAGCACAAATTCATCTGCACTACCGAGCACTCTCAGCACATCACGGAACCCCGCCCCGACTAAAGCTCATGTAAGCGAATCAGCACCCTCTCCTTGATATAGCACTTCGATGGGGCCTGTCATCGGGCGAGACCAGCTCATTGATTCTCACCTACCCACAAGAGAGCGTGCACCCGATGCATTCCTCATGTTAGGCTTCCACCCAATCCCGAAAATCACCAAACAAGGCGCAAAGTCCACCGACACGGCTCATTATTCTCTAGAGAATGGCGAGAGTTTCCGCATTGTATCTTCACCGAGGATATTCTTCAAATGCAAAAAGGCGCAAGCCACTAATCTGATTGGCCACGCACTTCCGCGCACGCTACAATCTTAAATGAATCCTTCGACTGTCGTAAGAAAGCGCTAGAAGCGCACGACGTCCCAAACTCGAAGCACGAAACTGTCGCCTTTGTCTTCACTCGATCAACGAAAGGTAGCACAGTGTACAGGACGAGAAACACGTCCGGGCGGCAGCAATTCGTTCACGGCAAGACAAAGATCGCATTCCTCGTAACGACCGCCATAAAGAAGGCCTGAAGTTCGAAGTTCGCAACCGCATCGTAGCATGCAGGCGAAATCGACATTGAAAACTGGAAGGTCACCTACTACTGCGAGAACGAAAGCGATCAAAGCCCTGCATGGAACATGCAGCATGGAACAGATTCTCGGTTGCGTCCACAGCACGACGAATCAATCGCAACAGTCTCGTGTCCGATATCCAATCTCACCTTGACTTCCCACCCGCAGAGCGCAGAGATGTTCTCGAACCTCGACGCGTATTCTCCTACTGCTGGAATCCATACCGGAACCATGACACCACACCATACGGAACACTACGACTTCCATGGCACCGAATTGTTCACCGCTGGCTTCCAATCCACTCGAAAAGCGTTGCCACCCCGCTTCGCTTCGCCGGGACCATCGCCACGGAGCGCCTTCCCCGTGAGCTCGCACTCGCACAGCTGTGGGTCCTGCAAGCTCTGGAGTCGCCCGCACTCCAGCAGCTTCTTGGCCTCGCTCTTCGCAGCTTTGTCACCGGCCCCCATCGCCACAATCTGTTCGCTGCCTCGCTCCGCACCTTCATCTGCCAATCCGCAAGTCCTCGAGTCCCAAATTCCTCGCCCACATTCTCTTTGCGCTGCGCAGTCGCGACGCGCCCATCTGTCACATCAGCGCCTCGTGGCGCAACACTTGTCGCGCGCCCTGTGGAAGAGCGGTCGCCCCAAAGTCGCAGATCCCGTCCCCATCGGAGGAATGCGGACAGTCAGACGAAGACAAGACAGAGATGGAGACGGAGAAGCGAGAAAAGCGAGAGGGAGCCTCCTCCATCCGTCCACCCCCGTCCGGGCCCGTCGTCGACATCGGGACGCCACAGTCACCTTCTCTTGCGATGAAGCCGATGGCGATGCTGCCACGGAAGATCCCACGTACCCTCTCGGTGCTGAAGTGGCCGGGCGCCGCGAGCCCCAAGGCCCTCTCGGCCGCGTGACCGCAGCGCCACGTTTGTCAAGACCAGCGCGTTTTCCGTGCGCGAGCCGCTCGGAATGGTCTCGGCCTGCGCGCGCTCTGCTGACGTGGGAGCCGCAGCGGCGACGTAAGGCGTCCCCACCGGCGAGCCGGTCGAGTATGTGGCGAGACAATTATCCATCGGCTGGGCCGTTAGGCTAAGCCCTCCAGCGTGGCCGGATCGATCGCCTTCTCGCTTTCTGTCGACTGCTGCCGTCGCTGCTGCAAATGCACATTCCCTGCAGTGAATGCTGTCCCCACGCGTTTTATTAGCGCCGGACGAGCATACATGATTTCATTTCTGTATCTTTTCGCCATCGCTCCCGCTCGAGCCTGCTGAGCCCGTCGGATCTCTTCGGGACTCCTCACGTAACTCTGCATGAATCTGCATCGACCTCCGAGGTCCTCCGATCCTGCCCTTCGTGAGAAGGAAGGCGTTATTTTGTGGGATATCTTCGTCGAGGTGTTTCCGAATTCGAAGGGTCTCGTGACAGGGATTCTTTTGTACTCCTTCAGATATTGGGGGGTTTTTTAATGTTATGCTATTCTGCGGGATGAATCGATATTCTTTACGGACTTTGCATTACTGGTCAGTGTTCACGATGACAAGGCAATCGTTTCGGATGGCTTACATCAGCGCTCTTGTGTCATTTGAAACAATGTGGTATTATTGGCCAATCATCAGTTGACTTTTGTGGATATATGGTTTCGGGTGACTGATTGTTCGATCATCTGCAGAAAGTTGCATACTCATGATATTTTACTTGCAACTGACAGGCCTGCTTAGCAAGATGTCTTCCAGAATTCACGGTTATTAAAGCTTATTTTGGTGCAATGTGTACCAAAATGACCTTTATCAAACCTTTGCATTACTTACCATTTCTTAATCCCTAATCTCTTTACCCTCACCTAGGAGCTGCAACTTGACATATACAGAAGTTACTGCAACAAAATATGGATTGAATACATGACCTTGTGCTAGTCATGTGCATAGAAACCGTCCTCGTTATGGTTTAGATATAAAGTTCATTCTCTATGAGAAAAATATCACTGGCACAAAATATATGCTATGCTCGTTGCACTATCATTGGTTGTTTTAGAATCTCCATTCATTGTGTTGTCTAATTGAATTTCACAGTATGAATTATATATTTTGTGGCTTAGGCAAGTAAGTACATCAGAAAAAATTTCCAGGGGAGTTTGAGCCTACTACAGAGCAAAATACTATGTTTGAATGTGATTATGTTTTGTGCATGCATATTGATATACTAAATACACCTCAGTCAGTAAAAGGACAGGTAATACATCATCTAATATTCGGTTCGATGACTAAGATAGTGCAAGTTTTTTCTAAAGTTTGCAGATATGAACTAATTACAGAGACTTCCTCCATCTTTTTCAAGAAGTTCATTAAAAAATCAGCAATTGTTACTGAAAATTTACAAACCCAGCAAATAATACTTAATATTGTACCAGAGGAAAGAAAGTCTATCATACACAAACATATATGGGAAATTGTTGATACCATCGTTGATTGCATATATTTTCTTCACATTTGTGCTTCAAAAAGCTAATTAAAATAATTTAATTTAATATTAAATAAATAAAATTGAAAAAAATCCCAAAGACATTTTTCATTAATCGAGATCTTTAAAAAGTTGCAAAATTGGAAATAACTTATTCTTTAGATAGATGTATAATCTCTTATTTATGTTAAATTATTATCGTAGACTTATAACTAACATTTAGATAAAATCTGAATCTACACCGTCTATGCATTCAATATACGTGATACATCAGATTTTCATATAAAAAGCACATTTAAATATTGAGGAAGATACAAAATTATATATATTCTTAATAATAATCACTCATAAGTTATGTTTCATAACCAATAATATACATGACATCAAGACTAATGATAACGAATGACACTTATCACTACAAGCTAACTGTCATTACAATAGGACTATTACAAGTTGAGTCATACATCTAGTTTGGAGTATTAAGAGTTCGTACATGTCATTTGCAATTCATAGAGTAAAATATCACATCAACTTTACCATAAAAATTTATGAAATATATAGTCTTAAAGCTGGCATAGAAAAGTTGTACTGTTGTGTAAAACAATTGAGGCAAATTTGTAAATATATCAAATGACATTTGCAAAATTTTTATGATAAGTTTGATAATAAAGTGCAAATTATCTTATCAGCCTACTACAAAAATCATTAAATATACATTTATTTATTTATCTTATCATTTAAAATTTTCAAAGAAAAACAAAAGTGTTTCAATTCCAAGAAAAATTTATGAGCAATATCATATGATATGAGTTTTCTAATATCTTAAATATAGGATTTAATCAAAATTAATAATTATTGTATATAATTTAATCATTTTATACATATTTTACATATCAATCGTAGGGTTAATAGATATTTTGATATGCCTTGTAAATGATAAAATATTTTGCACAATAATCTAATATTTGAATAAAAAGATGATGATTTTTAATAATACGGATAGAAATTTACTAGACATAACAATTTCAAACATAGATCATCAAATTTATATTTGTAAAAATCTTTTGAAAATTCGTATCTCATGTTTGATATAAAATATTGAAGTCAATGAAAATCATTTGTTCTAAATACATTGATATTGTGAGTAAATTAGTTTCTTCTATGTATCATAATATTCTCAGCTTTAGTTTTAAGACAAGAATAGTTGAATCCAAATTTGATATATAAAGGATTTATGCACATGGTATAAACTACAAAGTTTTAGAAATTAAGTGTAAAGAATCTATCTATTCTATAAAACATTTCATATCACACACAAAGTTAAGAATTCTATATATATATTTTTGAACTGAAGCCAATTAGGACAAGCATTATTTTGAAAAACAATTTCAATATTTTTGAAATATACTTTTAGTGATATATTGACAGGAAACAAATAGGACCATCCATAAATTAATTTAATTTAATATGATGGCTACGTTGGTGTGCTTTATTTAAAATAGAAAATAAAGTTAAAAGCTTGGCAAATTTATAGAAAACATTAAGAGTAATGTAAACTATGCTCATATGCATTGATTCAAATAATGTTCTTGAAGAGTTCTTGTGTTTATCGGAAAAAAACAGAATCTTGTGTTTATTGAAAAGAACTATAATTATTTTGACAATTTCATCATGTCCATGTTATGTTTTATTTCATCAAATATTATCTGCAGAAATTTCATCTATTATACTATTTGTGGACACAATATCACTAATGCCAAATTTTTATTTTTTTATTATAAGGTATCTAATACTTAAGCTGAAAAATCTACAAAATCAAAGAAATATGTTATTCTTGTTCAAAGTTGTAACATTTTTTATTTATCATCATTATATCAAAATAAATTAATCTCCTTACAATAATAACTTCAAAACTATTTAAACTCATATCTTGAAGGTTTAAATGTGTTTATTTGTTTAATTCTTATGAATAATAATTAGAATGAAAATTGAGATAAAATTCATATCAATTTTATTATTTGAGAATTAAAATTTTATCAAAACACATGATTAAATTATCCTGAACTATATTTCATATCTAATATTTTGTAATTTTGATTAAATAATTCACCCTAACTCTCACGCATTTAAATAAAAAATAGGCATATTTTGATATGAATTCCTAAATCAGATGTCAGTTTTTTCAAAAAAACTCATTAATTGCAAATGATGAAAAAGCTTATAAATAAACTTCAATCAAATGTCAATTTCATCATTCATAAGAGATGAAATTGAAGCTCTTTTAAATACAATGCTAATATTTTCTCATAATTATATACGTAAAGTGAAGAATACACTTGTTCTTGTATTCATGTATACATTCTATGTTTGAAAACAAGTTTTAAAGAAAAATATCTGAAGAATTGTCAACAAGTGATAAACCAAATTTTACCAAGTGATAAACCAAATGCAAAATTTTAAACATTTTGAATTATTAAGTACCTATAGTTTTATCTTTATAATGGGATTTTTTTTTGAAAGAAACATAGATTTTGTTTCATATGCTTATCAATACCAAAGATTTTTGTTTTTCCAAAATTATGACAAAGAAATTGGGTTCAAATATATATTTGGTTGAGTTATATTTTTGTAGTCTGTAAGTAATATATTGATATCTTGAATATTTTAAAATACCTTATTGAATATTTATATGAAAAAAATTAATTCTAAAATTAATTAATAGATATTGATTTAGCAATTTTTGTATTTTGGATTCTCACAAAAATATAATTTCTTTGATTTAGTTTCAATAAAATATAGGCAAATTTTAGAATTTAAATTTTCGAATAAATTGTTATTTAAAATATTTAAATGAATTTTGGTTTTTTATGAGTAAGATTGGGGAAAAATGTATATTTTTCTTTTCTTACTTCATCTTGTAAATAATATTGTTTTCTTATTAGTCTTGTTATATTCTTATTTACTTTCATCTTGTAATTGATCTTGCTCAATTTTTTAGTTATAGATTTTTTTTATATTAATAAAATTCTAAGGTTTCAAATTCATGATTGATTAAATTTTATAATAATTTTACATCTTATCAAATTATTCTGAAATGTCATTTTTCTCAGAAAATACTATAAATTGATATAGTGAAAAAACGAGTTTTGATTTTTTGATTCTTTATTTTGATATTTTAAATTTTTTTCAAATAGATTTCTGGGTGTTTCATTGTGGGCATATGTTAAACCAACATTTTTTATATGTTTATTTTTAATTTTATTCCAATAAATTGTGCTATTTCAACAAATCAGAAGCATTGGTTTTCATTGTGCTAAAAATGATGATAGTGTTGAACAAAAGAAATGATTGAAATTAGAATGACTGATACAATGTGAATTGTAAGTTGTTTGATGATTATTAGCTATTAAACACATGATTTTTATTTATGATTTTTCAAAATGTAATTTTCTTCTTACATTTAGTCACAATTTAATATCCCTTGTATAATGTTTTAATAAAATTATTATAATTTTATTCATTCAATTTTATTATCATTTAAATGTTTCATTTGTTTACTTGCAATCATTATTAGTGAGAGTTTCATATATTTCTTTCATATCAAGTTTAAAATTTTAAAATTAATATTTGGGATTTCTTATGTTGGTTAAAATTTGCAGGGTACAATAACGTTTCTGATATATTGCGTGTGAATTTACAGGCTTAATTGTCACATCTTTTTCCACAATTTCCATTATCATACGCACAGAATATGTTACAGACATTTGTTTGATGTTGTTCACAATTTGGTTATAAAATATTGAATTTTTGAATATTAGTTCTACTTGAATATGCATGTGATAGTGAGTAATATATGTTAATGTACTCTCATAATATATGTGTAGCATTATTTGAAATAAAAACTGCAAATTATGAAAATTGAATTCTCATTTCGAACTAGGAAAAAGTAAGACTTCTCTTGGACATATTGGTTGGTGTTTAACTCAATTCTTCAAACTAAAAATTTACATAACACTTAGATTCATGGAGTTTAGTTTATGAGTTTACCCTCTTGAAGTAAAGGTATTTACTTAACTTCATAGTGAGTTTGAGACCTGTATAATAAAGTCTAGGGAAAATAGCTTCCATAAATTCATTAAAAAGTTGAATATTCGAATCATATGCTTGTCATATTTCTATCACTTTGTAGAATCAATTTCAGATAAATGATGAATTTACATACATCCATGTTTGAGATTTTTTTTCTTATTATCTTCAATTTTACAAGGAAACCATATCCTACGTCTTGTTTTGTTTTCATTTTGATATTTGGAAAGAAGTTATATTTGTTCTAGGCTTGGACTCAGTTTTTTTTCCCATGTATTCAAATTTGGAATTAAAAAAAAAACTTGGCACTTGAAAATCACCTGGCTTAAATTTTCAATATGAGTAATTTGTCTACAGTATGCAAACTGTGTATTAGAGAAGAAAAAATGTAACGAGACACATGATAGTATGCAAACTGTGTATTAGAGAATTTTTGTTTAAAGAGACACATGATAGTCGCGGAAGGTAGACAAAAATTGAAGACCATGGTATGAAGCGGATTTGGCATTCTCTATGGTCTTCATCCGAAATGGGGAAATGGAGTGAAGTTCCGAAAATGACGCGAGGCACTTTAGTCACGAACCGGGGTCCGCATCCGTATAAACTAATGTATGTCGGAGATATTTAGGAGCGAGGAAATGTTGGTCCGTTATGAATGAAATGCCGTGCTTATCTTGCAACACAAATCCGGGCACCGGACAAGAAAGAGTGCAGCGGGAAGGCGAATTTAACACCCAGCAATAATCACCGGCGACGAGCTAAATATAAGAGGGCGAAGGTCTGGGTAGGACCAATGGGGCTGCTCGGGGGCCGTGTACCTCGGCAACAAATGCAAGCAAAGGAAGGCGAACACGGTTTCTTTCTGGGTTGCCCGCTTCAATGAATGACATGACAGGGGGGAAAATAGCAAAGCAGAGGGTGGGAGTGCACATGGCGCGACTAGGCCGCAGCTGACACCAAGTCCCACCAAAGATGGCCAAATGGGCAACCAGCGTCGTCCTGGCTAAGGACGTCCGAGCCGACCCGACCCGAGCAGAGGGACGGACAGACACACAGACGTCCGCTCGTTGCCGGGCGGGCAGGCGGGCGGGCGGGCGGGACGGACGGAGTTGGCTGGCGGTCTAGCGAGCTGGCCGGATGCCCGCCCGCCTGCTCGCCCGCAGGCACGCAGGCGGGTGACGGGACACGCGAGGACGGGTCCGGACCTCAATCCGAACCTGGGAATATCTGGTGCGACTGAACGTGGGCGGTAGTGGGAGCGCGGTTACGCGCGGACCCGCCGGTCCAAAACCTCGCGGACCCGTGACGTAGACTCGAGGAGACGGGCCCCGCTCGGCCACCCGCGATGCGACCCGCGAGGGCTGCAGGCTGGCTGCGCGAGAGGGAGACCCCGAGCAGGCACTGCGGTCGCAGGCCGTTGGCGTGGCGCGCTGGCTCCGCTCTCGCCAGCCGGAACGGAGGGACGGACGGATAGATGGATGGAAGGAAGGAAGGAAGGAAGTGGGAGGAACGTAGGGATCGAAGGGAGGAGGAGGAATAGAAAGGCCATTCATCTTCCTCCTCTGGCCTCGTCCTTCCGTCGAATCCATTCCATTCCAGTCCACTCCATCCGTCGGCCCGCTGCCGCTGCTGCTGCTCTAGCAGGCGGGCGGGGGGGAGCGGGTGGGTGCAGTGCTGTGCTGGCCGGAAGGGGGGTGGGGGCTGGGGCTTGCGGGTGCAGGAGGAGGACGTTGTCTTGGAGTGGCAGGGGCTGGGACTCTTTTCAGGGCTTCTTCATCTTCATCTGCCCTCCTTCTTCCACCTTTCGGCAGGCAGGCAGCGCGGCCGCGCGCGCACCTTTTCTCTTCTCTCGAGCCTTTAGATCGCCGGAGGCCTGCGGCGGTAACTCTTTTGTTTCGCTTCGCTTGCTCTTCTTCTTCTTTCTCTTCTGGTGCTTGCTGCTGGCGCTCCGCTCCGCCCCGTTGCTCTGCTCCGCTCTCTTCTGGCTGGCTGGCTGGCTGGCTGGCCGCTGCTCCGCTCGCTCGCTCGCTCGGTCGGCTCGGCTGGGGCTCTGGGCCTGGGCTTGGGCTTGGGCTTGGCTGGGTGCGCGCTTTGTTCTGGACTGGCGTCAATAGGAAGGAGGTGGCTGCTGCTGGCTGGGGCTAGTAGGACGAGCGGGCGAGGGAGAGAAGGCCGCGAGGAGGGACGAGGGAGAAGAGGAGGGGGCGAGGAGGAGGACGACGAGTAGGGATCGAGGTGGATCGATTGACTGCCGGGTGTCTGCGCGAGACGGAGAGAGGCATCGCACGAGAGTCGGAGTCGGAGGGAGAGAGAGAGAGAGAGAGAGAGAGCGAGAGATAGAGAGGCCGAGAGGAAGGGAGAGAGGGAGAGAGAGAGAGAGAGAGACACGGGTTTGGGTCGTTCGCGTAGGTTATTGATCAGTTAGCCGCTCTTGCGAGGCGAGGCAGGCGGGAGGGGAGGCACGGGCGCCCGCACGCAGACTCAGGTGGTGCAGCAGCGGCAGCAGCAGAGGAGAGAGAGAGATTTCGAGCGCGGTTCGGTCGGTCGATTGGTGGACGCTAGCGAGGCGAGAGACCAGGCAGTCGACGAGGACGAAGAGGGGCGAGACCTCGAGGAGGCGGAGGCCGGCGAGAGAGAGAGAGAGAGAGAGAGAGAGAGAGAGAGAGAGAGAGAGAGAGAAGCACGAGGCGAGAGGTTGGTGGAAGTTAGGGAAAGGGGTCTTACGGATGCCTGCAGGGGGAGGATTTGAGCGAGGAAATTGCGAAGGTGGATTAGAGCAGGAAGAGGTGTTGGTGCAGTGGTGAGAGTTGGAAGCCGGAGGCGGAGAGTAAGCCGAGTGTAGTGGCACCGGGCGGAGGTTGGAGGCGGGTTGTGGGGACGGAGACGTTTGCGGTTTTCGTGGGGTGGGGGGGAGGGAAGGGGTAGGCCGAGGGGTGATGGACGCGAGTGTGCTGGACGACATTATTTTGCGGTTGTTGGAAGTGCGGGCAGGAAGGCCAGGCAAACAAGTCCAGTTGTCCGAGGCGGAGATCCGGCAGTTGTGCTTGGCGTCCAAGGACATTTTCTTGGCGCAGCCGAACCTGCTAGAGCTCGAGGCTCCTATCAAGATCTGTGGTAATGCTCGTTTCTTCGTGCCTCCCTATGCCATTCTCTTGCCTCTTGAGAAGTTTGATCAGCGTTCAGTCGATAATGTATTCTTGTCAATCTCTTATTGTCTTGCACTCTCGTTATCGCGGAGGAAGCCGCTGGCTATCCTGCGTTCTTCTAAAGATCCAGCGCAAGCCCGAACTTGCTCGAGCAGACTCGAGACGTCGAACATATCCATTCCGCCGAGTGTTCTCGGGCATGACTTCCAGTGTCTGGAAATCTTAGAGGGACAAATATTACGATCGATCTTGGCATGCGCCTCGAAGTGAGAAATTGAGACCTTTCAGCTCTTTCAGGCTGCCGTCTATATGAACTGTTTATTTGGTCGGAGAAATTTGTAACTTTCGTCCATCTTGCCCTCACGATTAACGAGCTGAACTCTCTGTCTTTAAATATCTATGTCTCGGACGATGACTGATGTTTCCACTAAGCCTCATAATTAGTTGAAATGAAGCCCGCTAAAACTGTTTGAAGTGATGAAATCTGCTACCTTTCCTTTTATCGTACAATTTCCTCGTAGTTTTTTGAACTGTTTCAAGTCGGGTTGTCTTTCCCGTCCTGATGCAGCGGCGCCGCGTCGAGCATGTTGCGTCTTCTGTGAATTTTGAATGTGAGATGGGGGTTCGCATAGTTCGGATCCTGTTCTCGAAAACAGGCTCGACGCATGTGACCCACTCGCTCGCTCTTTCCTTCTATCAGCTTAACTAACTTGGCAGAGGGACACGGGCACTTGTTTCGCGAAGGACGCCTTAGGAGATGCTTAAAATTGATCAAATTATTTAGGTCAAATCTTTTCAAACCCGCCGCGTGGTTTGCATCAAGTTTCTGTCCTATTGTCCAGTTGACGATGATCTTGTTCATGACCTGCACAGTCAAGTCACTTAGCCGGCGGCGCCTGGTTTGAGCGCTAGCATGTTCTGAAGCTTCATTCTGTAACCCTCCTTCACAGCGAGGTTAATGTTGGAATGATCGTGAATGGTTCGGAAACGTCGAGATAATGGGACTTTGTGCGTATTGCTTGTCCGCTTATCGCCCCGAATCTTTGGGTGTAGGTCATGGTATCAATCTCAAAATGTTGCCGAATGTCGTGTAGTACTCACAGCATGACCCGTCGGCCGTGCGGCTGAATGGGTCGCTGGGCCATTTGCCTTGCTGTAAGAAAGCCGACGACTGTCAAGATCGTTTCCCTAGCCGTATTTAGACTCAGTGGCTATATTTAGAGTATTTGAGATCTCAGCAGTAAAAGACTTATTGACAGAGTCTTAGTGGTCTTTCCGCGTCGAAGTACCTCGAGTTACATGGGTTGACGTTGACAAGAATGAATGCTCTTGTTTCAACTGCGATTATAGTGCATGACACTCCGCCCCTCTTCAACGATCTGTTTGTCGTACTAGCAACAGATGAGAGAATGTTTTTGTACGACTTCCTTTGATTGCAGATTCCAACCGCTGCTGTGTCTTCTTGAAAATGGTGTGCTCCCTTTTCGTTGGACCATACGGGAGCATGTCTGTCGAATTAAGGTGTCTACCATAGCTTACATGTCTGCTGAGCATTTTCACAACATTTCACTTGAGTTAGAAGGCAGCTCAATGGCTGCGTCCCAGAAGAAAAAGTTGTAGAATATGAAGCCTATGGTTCTTTACTACAAGAAATCGACCACCTGTTACTCACGAGGTAGCTTCACGCAGAGCAGTTTATTATCGAGCCGGAACAAGTGATTTTATCCAGTCATCATGCGAATCGAGCGTTCATTTGTTAAACACAGTAGAAAAAATTATTGGAATGGAACAGTGCATGAGACGATGTGGACTCTTTGCGGAGTGTTGTGGACTTCTCAAAAATGTTTAGTCGGAGATCTCTGTTATGGATGTTTTGTGTGTTTTTCGTGAACTTGGTTCAATTTTGTAGAAGAATGTAAGCGTTTGTTGATGCAGTGGCGTTGTATTGCAGGTGATATCCATGGGCAATATTCAGATCTTTTGAGGCTGTTTGAATATGGCGGTTTTCCGCCTGAGGCCAACTACTTGTTCCTTGGGGACTATGTGGATCGAGGAAAGCAGAGCCTAGAAACCATTTGCCTTCTACTTGCTTATAAGATCAAGTACCCAGAGAATTTCTTTCTGTTGAGGGGCAACCACGAGTGTGCTTCCATTAACCGAATATATGGTTTCTATGATGAATGCAAGCGTCGGTTCAATATTCGGCTCTGGAAGATTTTTACCGAGTGTTTCAACTGTTTACCTGTTGCTGCCCTCATCGACGAGAAGATCCTCTGTATGCATGGAGGGCTCTCTCCAGATTTGAAGAGTTTGGAACAGATCAAGAAAATTGCCCGACCCACAGACGTACCAGATTCTGGGTTGTTGTGTGATCTATTGTGGGCTGATCCCGACAAAGTTGTTACAGGCTGGGGTGATAACGACCGTGGAGTATCATATACCTTTGGCTGCGACGTTGTGACAGATTTTCTGCAGAAACACGACCTGGATCTCATATGTCGAGCCCATCAGGTCCATTCTCTCTTTAGCTAGCAAGTAGATTATTTGCTAATGTACTAATTCATTGCAAGGGTGATAATGTACAAGCGTTTGTTAGGATGAGTCTGGTGAACTTCGCAAGTTCGATTGCCTGATTCCCAGATGGTGTAGAAAGCTTTTACCTATCTTCATGTGAACAAGATTGAGAATAACGGAGTGGATATTACCCAGCTGCATGCGAAATAGTTAAAAACCTAACCAATTGAACTTACTTTCTCCAGGTGGTTGAAGATGGATATGAGTTTTTTGCCAAGAGGCACCTCGTCACCATCTTCTCTGCGCCCAACTATTGTGGTGAGTTTGACAATGCTGGAGCGATGATGAGTGTGGACGATACACTCATGTGTTCATTTCAAATACTGAAGCCAGCCGAGAAGAAACAGCCTAAATTTTATGGTAATTCAAATTCTGCAAGACCAGGGACACCTCCACGCATTGTAAAGGTGGGATCCATTATCACTCCTTGATTTACATCTTATAGTTTGCAGCAGATCCGATAGAGGGATGATTTTATAGATCTTTGCACAAGATGCCGTTACAACCCCATGGTACATGGTTATATATACATTAGAGACAAATTTGACGATTTTGGACGATGGTCTTCGAACGAATGTATCCTTCAAATAACAGCAAGACCTAGTAGTTTTTTAGAATTTTTTTAGCTCTTGTTTTCTGTAAAGTGGAACGGTCTGTGCCAGTATGAAATCGAGGAGTATATTTATAATGAAAACTACACAGTTTCTTTCTACATGTTTGCATATAATATTCGAATGTGATTTATGACGATCATTACAGTTTTACTTGCTTCGTGTGGTACGTGCGAATGCTATCTGTTTGTTCCTGTTGGGCAGTTTCTTCCAAGATGCAGACGTGTGCATAAATTTTGTGGTCGCACTGTGAACACAGCTTTTTTTTAATGATTACGTTCTAAGGATGAAAACGTGGAAGTAGAGGACTGATTTTTCATTTATTAAAGTTAGGAGCACGCAATGATTGCGCGGATGACTGAGGCTTCTTGGTGCACTGGAATGTCTCGTGGGCCGTTAAAGTCACATGTTTGTTGAAAAGACTCTCCGCTGATTATTCCGTGATATGGAATAAGTTATGAAAGGATTGTTAATCGTGTACTTTCGAGACACTAAGGTCATCAATTGTGCTCCAAATATGAATCATGTTCATAGTCAGTTGTTGTTTGTTGCTTTATGCTGAAACAAACATGTGTTGTAAAGTCAGCTCACGTCTGTATTTGTTCATTAGATTCGGGCACTCAACTTGTTATCAAATTCATAAGATCTCAGTCCACTGCTTATCTTTTACTGCAAATATAATTAATGACATGCAATAATTTTGGGAAAATTACAAGAGAGGTTGTCAACTTCCTGCAGGGATGATCATTTGGGAGCTGGCGAGAAGGCATGTGCTGTTGAACGTTATATGGTAGATACAGCAGCAAACTCTATGATGGGCATGTTTTGGCATTGACAGCAAGTGGCTAATCAGCGTTGGGTTGAATCGCGCCTTCGAAGTTGTGGTTTACGTGGCAGTCGATTCATGTGAAGTTAATGAGGCCTCTATTTTTATTAGTTGGCTCATGGCTTCCTTCATTTCCATTCGCACCACGCGATCGTTGTCAGGAATGCCCGTTCTTTCAATATGGTTTTGTGCAGAGCTCTGTGCCTTCATAGTGCTGTTTCTGGGTCCTTTGTCGTGGGTAGATGTTTTCGTCTATTTTCCGAATTTAAAAGACTTTGGACCTTATAACATACCTTCTTTAGTTCCTCCATAGAGCTGTGGGTGCTTCTTGAATCCTGCTTTTCTACCTTTGGGATTGAGGACAGTAGCTGGTACCGAAATTCATTATTCGAAACAGGTCACAGATTGGAGAAGTCATACACAGGGATAAGTCAATCACCCAGGGACTTGATTTTGAACCCTCTGTTTGCGAAAGTGGAGGTACTAAGGTACCCTCATTTGTCGTACGAAAGCTCGAGACTTCGTCTGAATGGGACCGAAGATAAGGCATGATGGTGGAGTTAAATCCGAATTCGGATGTGGCAGCTTCGTTCACCTGAGTGACAAAATATGGACACTGTAGCTGTTCATGAATGCATGAAGTCTAGAATATTCTCGCTCTATCCATTAATGGCTCTGATTACATACAGAAGGCCACGAGGATGTCAAGCCTTTTCTCTCAGCACGGTATACAAAGATCCAGCGACACGCGTGTGTTTCAACACACAGTCTTGGAGATCTGAAAGGAGTATATAGCGGAGCAACGTGAACGTTGGGCTACTGATATTCCAGAGGTTCGCAGTAGTTTGTACAGTCAGTGTCGGGAAGACAAGTTCTAGATCAGATTTTCTCCACTTTTATGGGTTTTGGACGGCAGAGTAGCTGTATTATAGATAAAGTGTTCGAATGCTGTGAGGTTTGATAGCAATACTGTGTGCCCTTCACTTATGATTGAATTCACATCCACAAATTGATTGTCAGTGGAACTCGCAATAATCATTCTTGAAGCTGATGGTATATTATCGCGCTGTTGTTAGTCTTTCACCCATGCTCGGTGGCAAACAAGATATAAGGTCTATTAATACTCTAATGCTCGTTTTAGTCAATCTATCTGCTTGTCTTTGTTTCAATCTTGATTATATAGCAAGTCTGTTCTTTGCGGTTGTGTAGCCGATCTAAGTTTATTAATGTGGATGTGGTTACCGATCTAAGTTGTTCAGATCATTTGTGCTTTCTAATTTGTGGCTTGGATCCTATAACGTGAGAGGTCCCATTGATTAGTGGGCCTTTATGAGCTTGACAATGAACAAAGTTTTACCAGTTGTAAGTGGTTTGGCGTCGCATATGCACAGTGCACCCCTCATAAGTCTTGAAAGATGTTTAACGTCACTGGCGTAGATGGCTGCTAGATAAGTTGGCGGTTGCGTCGGCTTTTCTTTGATATTCTTGTGCGCAGTTTCCCATGTTCTCTTTTTTCAAAACCATGAACTTTCTGAACTGGTTACTGTTATTTGCTTTGAGGGGATCGGTGCAACTGGACTTATTAAATGTCTGTTGATTGTTCTGGTATAATGGTCGCAGTACCTTTTCGGTTTTTCTCTGGTCCTCTCTGTAAGTCGTTTCTGGTTGCAAATTTCATAGTATAGCAAAGAAGTTCAGAGTGGTGGGTAACCTGTAAGGATTTGCAGGCTTATTGAGCGCACCCTGTTCCATTGTTGTGTTGGAGTTCGGGTCAGCATTCTCAGTCTTTCTGATTTATTTCTGTCTGTTTATTTTGCAGCCGTATCAAGGCAGCAAGGGCTAGGCACTGCAGTTGTTCTTCTGGTGGGATGAAGAAACCGTCTTGACTGAATTGTCAAGGCAAGGTGAAACTTTGAGTGCTCTTGTGCAAAGGGGTTCATTATCAGTTTGAGTGCATTTCAGCAGGGGCTAGAGCCAATGAACACCAGCGCAAGGCACTTAGTAGCCTAGTATTGGGAGCTGGAGGAGGTGTCTCCACTCGGGTACCGTACCGGAGGCAATGTCTAGCTCTGTATGGGGGTGCTAAGCGAGAAGATTGGTAGGGTATGGGTAGTCTGGTAGGTTTTCATATGAGCTGCATACGGAGCTCTCAGAAATCATTGCATTGTATGTACATTAGTGAGCGCAAACAGGCACATGTTTTCATCCGACGGTCCTGTCACTTCAGCTCATGGTAATCAAATGGGCTTTCGTTTTGACATGTACCACTTTTAATCGCTCTTCGTCCATCAGTCCTGTCCTGTCACAGTCATGTTTCCGCGTCTAGAGAAGATTGTTCGAAGAGTTTGGACCTACCCCATCCCAATCCACATCCAGATCTCAATGAGCCTGTCGGTCAATGCACCGGTGTGTGCTGTGCGCTTGTTGGTTCTTCTCTCTGTCTGCGTGCTTCTGGTATCGTATTGAGGCCCCGTCTGTCCAGACAGGCAATCCCACCATGGAAGGAAGGTTTCTTAAGGCTGAAGTCAACTGGGGTTCTCAGTCGAGTGTAATTACTCCATGTGACGACCTCCCTGCCCTGTCCTGCAATCTGTCTTTAGTTATAAAATATGGGTACTCTACAATTTACTCAGTTCTGTAAATTTCTGTAGTGAAACCACTCAAGGCTTTTGCCCAAGGAGGGCAGCAGCAGCATGCTGGTGTGGAGACAATTATATCTGCCTGCCCTGAAAGCTTGCTTTCGGAAAGACAGCTTTATCAGAAGAGAACTGCCTATGCTTTTAGACCAGCATTGAGTCTCTCGCTTGAGGAAAAAAGATAGTTTGCTGAGTAGACCGGTGATTTCATGGAAACAAGGTTTGTTAACAGTGTAAATTTTGTTCTGTAAGCAACTAGCACATGGTTATGATGATAATGAGTTGATGGGAAATATAAGGTGGTGAGCCAGACACCCTTGCTCGATGCATAGAGACTACGTGGGTTTTGATTTGTTGTTGGAATTTGGGAACAGCTGGTGTCATGCATGTATTACCTTGCACCAGCCGTAGACGCAGGCCTTTGGTTTTGAGTCCACGTCTAGCAGCCCCTAGGTGAATTTCTGAAGTTATGGCTGAAGTTATGACATGGATTCTTGTATGAACACACATAATCTTTGCCATCTTCACTCTCATGTGTACCAGCATTTGGTGCAAGCACGGAATACCCGGTCACATGCATCGTTGAATATCCTCATCGTGAGTGGCTAACTCTGGTCCGAAACCTTTCGTGAAGAAGTAGAGAAGCATTTTATGAGATTAAACTACAAGAACACACCATTCCTTCTGGAATAATCTAATCGATTGTTATTTCTATACCATGTTTTCATGCGCTTAAAAACCTTATGCATTGCATAGCTCTTTTGATTCTTTGCCATTCTTGTTTCCACTTTAGAGTCACAGACATTTACTCTCCCTTGACTCCAGTAATGCGATGAGCAGCCTATCTAGAGAGTGGAGACTCTTGTGAGCTATTCACTTCACGAGTATACGTAATGACACCACGCAAACCTTTGATGCTGGTCAAATGAACCGCGGGAAGAGTTGAAAGATCTCTTCTAAAGTCATGGCATTACGGTCACTGTTTGTCACGAAGTCACCACGAGGGGAAAGAGGGAGATTCGACCGTTTTCAGCGGCCAAACAGTGAGCGCAATAGTTAACCTTTAAAGTTTGCGGTTCGTCAGTCTAATTCTTGATAATTCCTACTAGTTGTCACGGGGAAGAGCGCAGAACAGAAGTGGGTCCTTTTGACCGCTGAGAAGAAGCTGAAAGTCATGACAAGTCACAGCAAGCAGCCGCGGCCTATTGTGCGGGTCACCGAATTCATGCAGCAGAGCAGGATTTGACCAAGGCCTTAGTGAAGAAGGGTTTGTGTTGTAGAAGAGGAAGTAGAGGAAGAATTTCCGCATGTAGCACAAGAGGAAGATGATCTATGAAACGTCGCACAATTGGTGCATCCCCATGGAGATTATCGCACACCATCATCCAACATGTCAGCGAGAATGTTCACCAAACCAAGGCACTAGCGTTTCGCTACAAGAGGGTCTCAGTGAGGACTCTGGTGCTAACGTCATCAGTGGATCGACTGTTTTCAGAGCTCTCCAACACAAGTCTAGACCAGTAATTCAAGGATTTTGATGAGGATGAAGGCGAGAAGTTGTGTCGTACAAAGCGCAGCAACTTGAACGAGCTGGCTCTGCAACACCTGCCCACATCGTATCGACGTACGAGGCGGCGAACAGGGATGGGCAACGGACCGAAGGTGGCAAGTAGACGATCACAACCACTACGCTGTTAGCGTTGCCGTCCATGTCATCGGAAAAGCAATGTTCCGCGTGTACTCGAGTTCATCGACATGGACATGTACATGTCCTGTACCTTTGCTTCAATGACACGAAGATGTGGCAGGATGGAACGACCACCATGTCGAAACCCTTTGCATCACATCATTGCAACATGGCTACGATCAAGATCGTGGCGTACTGGACACTCCACTCATATGTCGGACGCTACCGGGTGACAAACCAGTTAACGGGGTCTTATTTCCAGTACGATCACCCATCATCTTTGTCTTTTCCCTGCGGACTTAGACCTTCCAACGTCTGTCAGCCCCTATATCAAGGCGTAATCCGCTCAATCAAGGCCTGTTTTCCCAACAGCATGCTTCCATTCTTCATAGACAAAATAAAAAATAAGTAGTAAAAGAATACATCAATATATATTTAGACAGGAGTAAGGTGAACCCCACAGCATGCTTACATTCTATATAGAAAAAGTGAAAAACAAACAGTAAAAGGCAAAATGTAGATATATTTAGACTGGAGTAAGGTGAACTTACTTTTGTAATCAGTCGCTGGATTCATTACAAAAGGTCAGATACCTGCCCCGATGGAAACCCTCTGAGTTTACAACGAGCTAATTGATACCGTGGGAGTGATAAGCTCAACTCACTATGTAGAGCATTCACTGCCAAAGAGTTTATGAGCGACGGGCTGGCCAAATATAGGAAGGTGGAGGATATTCAAATAAAATAATAATGATAAGCAGAAGGCCTCTTTACGCTTCTTGTTGCCAAGAGTGGGTCTGATGAAATTAGACTCAACAATACCGTTAGCCACTGAATGCTCTACGGATCTCTTGTGAATAAAACATTATCCAACAGAACCATTTCGACAATCAAGACTTCGGCCCCATGGATAATGTGTTTAATAATTCATGGGGTTGTATAATGTATCGTCATATTTATCACTCATTTAAGAGCTTTTCCGGGTAAAGCGGGACTTTTATTTAACTTCCCCGGCCTCGAGTTGAGGGGTCTCGAAAACACTCTCTCCAGTCCTAAAGAGTGTTTAAGTTTCAGCATCCACTACTCACCTGCAAATAGGCGATGTGTGTTCCATTTACTTTACACTAGTTCGGAGTCATAACGAGAAAAACTTCACAGTTTGCCCTCAACGAACTCAAAATCTTCGAGGATTATGCAAAAAGCAGATATGAAATCATTTCGATGAGGAGATAAAGCCCTGGTGAGGGCAAGAAAGTAGCAAATAGGATAGGAAGTGTATAGGTAACACTAAAAGATAGAACGAAGATTGCGTGTTTTTAACGAGTATGTCTAAACTCCTAATTAACTTCTACTAAAAGAACTATTCAGAGACTCAAAACTACTTGTGTAACATTCTGTATTTCAAAAATTGATCAAAGTGTTAAAATACATACATACATATATATATATATATATATATATATATATATATATTTGTATTTAAAAGAACAACAATGAAGGTGTGTTAGGAGTTAATTCTAATGAGGTTGATTATGATTAGTTAGATTGATTAGCTAGCGCTATGCAAGAAAGCGGGTAGAAGCTATCTCACACACAGGAGGATTTTTGAAACTTTTGATTTTTGGAGGATTTTTGATTTTTGCTTGTTCAGTGGAGGTTGAATTTCTTGATTAATGAAGAGAGTCTACACATTAACCATATGGTGAACTAATTATTCTCATGGTTTGACTCTCTTCACAATGCTTGTTGTTGTGAATATGAATCAAGACTAATAGGTTGTATGAAATCTTTAGTATATTAGTGACACTTTTAGTTGAGAGTGACAAACAAAAGTTTTGAGCTAGGAATAGTAGCAAGAGATTTCAGAGTTTGTCAATGTGTAAGAGATTTGACGTTTATCATGCGGAAAGATTTGACAGTCACAACGGTAGAAAAATCAACACTTTTGTATTCTAGGAAAAAAATGGCATTTGAGCAATTTGATCATCAATATGAGACAAAATTATATTAAAAATAAGTAACACATGTATAATATCAAATTTCAATATTTGAGATCTTTTAACATTGTATCGAGAGTGAGAAGATTATGACTGGTGTGAATTTGGATCTATGTTCTTTAGCAAAAGCTTGAATGTAAATCGTTTATGACATAAAATTACAAGATAATAAAATCCAAAATTCAAAATCAGTCTCAGAAAAAAATTGTAGTTCCAAAAGATGTTGTTGTGTCAAACTATGTCAAAGTTAAAAACATTAAGTATTCAACACATGTGAGCATATGAATAACAAACAAATCTATTAACAAGGAGTAAACTGATCTTACTATGTGTGATTTTGCGACCGTTGAAAAATAAGTTAATCTTCTTGATTTAAAACATGCTGATATATTTGCTTGATGTTTGAAAGAGGTGAAATCTTTTCATTTGATGTGGTTCAATTCTTGTTAAATATACTCCATCAAAATGCATCAATAAAAATATGGCAATCATTGATTGAAAACAAGATTTAGGAATAGTGAGTACTTAAAATAAAATAAATATTATAAAATAAACTTTTAAAAAATTTAGAACTATGACACAACCAAATCCAAACAAACAAAGTGTAGAATTAAAAAGATTTACTATTTATTTATTTATTTGTTTACAATTTATAAAAAGATTCAAATTAATATTTTCAAAATCACAGTATGCAACTTTCTTTCCTAAGTTCTATCCGATCTTATCAACAACTTATTGTCAATACATGGATACAAAAGATAGTACCAAATATGAAGTAGCTAGTATTGTCTTTTAGTACAAAATATATTCAATTTCACCTTGGTGAGCAATAATTTTCACACAGGAATTTTGTTAAAATTTACTTTTTCAATGACGTTTGTTACAACTTGCTGGTTGTATGTAATTATAACTCTTATTGATATTACCTCATATCAAATGGATGTTGTTATATATTCTCACTGCATCAACAAGATGGTATCAAATATATGGCAATATTCAATTGAACTAAGAGTTGCAAGGAATATGTGAACACTTATTCATCAATGTCAAGTTGTGTACAACATGAACATTGAGATCTTATGATATATTTTGTGATATGAATATAGTTCCATATCATGAGCTAATGATCCTTTAAAAGTAATAGAACTATCAAAATACACCATTAGCTAAGATAGGTGATATCTTTTTGGTACAATGTATTGGAAAATTCTATATTAGTTCCAATTTAAGCATTAGACCAGGTGAAAGTTGACGTATTTCACATTTCGTACATCAAACATTTACTTGAATTTCAAAAGAACAATCATCTGGTTACAAAGATATCTCTTATATTACATAAGCGCTGTCAGGTATGAGGAAACAAATTCCACGAATGAATTTTAATAAAAATATAATATTCAGCACATCAACCATTAAATTCCTGTACTGTAATGGCTATATATCTAGTCATTGTAATCAAGTGCAGGTGAATTCCTAACTGAAATTCTTCTACGTGGAGATGATCCAAAGTAACAAAAGCCAGAACTTTCCATATGGAGATAATCCAAAACAACAAAAGCCACAGGTTGGGACGACGCCTGAGAGATTCGAACTCTCGCGGGGAGACCCCATGTACTTAGCAGGCACACGCCTT